ACCTTGAGTTCGATTTGCTAGACCATAAAGAGGCACAATCAAGACCTGAAGGACAGGGCATCACAGGAGATTCTGGACTGAGGTCAGCTGAGTGCCTGAATGGGATATGGAGCCATCTTGTGGAGGGGGGGCGTTGAAGCACTGCTGATACCTCACTGTACCACTCACCCTGGGCACATGAGTAGATTAGGTTTCCCAGCCTCCCTTGCACTTTGGTCTGGCTGTGTGCCTGAGTTCCAGTCAGGGAAACGTGGGTAGGGAAGTGACATGTATACACCACTTCCAGGCCTGGTAGAAAAACTTCTACGAACAGCCCTCATTCTCTTCTCCTGGTATGTCATTGGAAGCCACATGTGGAAAAAAGCGGAGCCCCGGCAGCCTAGGACCCTGAATGACTGACTGCATGGGGCAGAGCCAGATCCGAAGGTTGGGATTGCCTAACTTCTAGAAACTGCATTCAGCATTCTCAAATCCTTTCCATGACACAATGAATATTAGCTAATATCTAGGAGCACTTAGTATGTGCCAGGTGCTGTGCTAAGCATTTTACATGTATTAACTCGTTTAATCCGTACAACCATCCAGATGGTCCCCATTTTGTAGATGAGACGGAGGCACAGAAAGGTTAGGAAACTTACCCAAAGTCACATAGCCAGCAAGTGGCAAAGTGGCCTGGCTCCAGAGGCTGGTCTAACCACAACACCCTATCACAATGTCTGTCACTGTGCATTGGCTGCCCACGGGGTCACAGATGCACGTCTCTGACACGAGCAGGCGGCTGTGCCCCTGCAGTGGTCATCTGGAAGTCACCTTTAATGGCTTGGAGATACCCATTTCTTGTGAGGTCCGGGCAGATGGTTGCAAATCACAGTACCTGGGTAGGGGTTATTTAAAGGGGCAGGGAGACAGACAAAGACTAAAGTAACCATCTCAAAAGAAATTGATCAAACAAGAGTCTTATGATAAAAACTTTATTGTCTTAAATATCAAATGTTTTACACATCACTTTTTCTTCAGAAAGTTCCTATTAAAAAAAGAAAAATAAAGTGTTTCGATTATTTAGGGCTGACTTAACATTTCAGTATGTGACAAAAAACTCAAACCCAAATGCATCTAGTTCACTCAGCTGCAGACAGGTCCTATGTCCAGCCCCTAAACCAAGGGCACAGTGCAGCCAACTGTGGGATTCCTGAGTTTGGTTCTCTTAAGTTCTCAGAGTTTTCCCAACTCTCAAAACCAAAGCACTATGGGAGTGACTAAGCTATTGGCAAGCCTGTTTTGCCAATCCGCCTAGTTTTTTAAAGATGCAGTAGTCTCAAAGCTCAAAGAAAAGTCAGAAAAGCAATACATGAGCAATTGCAAGAACAAAGGGGAAAAGAAGGGTTTCTATTTGCTAAGATTTGCCAAATATGGCTACAAAACTGGTAAACAAACCTTACTCGAGAGTGAAGGCCATTAGCCCAACTTGCCATGAAGACGAGATTCTGAATAAAAACGAGCAAATCAATTTTCATTGCAGGTGCACAGTGAAGAAAGCAATATAATCAGTATGTTCAACTGCTCTGAGTGCATCACTATTTCAAAAGGATGATCGTGAGAATAGAGAATGGAATATAATCATTCAGAGAGAAAGGTCTCAAGATGGGAGGCATACACTCAGAAAGCTGTGGGGCCTTCAGGGAAAGAAAAAGAAGTCTGGTCAGCATCAGGTAATCTCAGGCTGAAGGAATCTGGAAAATCTGAAAACCAACTGGCTGATCTGACTGCCTCTGGTAGGAGACTGAGAGAGGTCTCCTCCCTTTAAGCCACAAATGCATTCATTCAAGGTTGTGTGTAAAGCAAGCTCCTGGTAAACAAAATCTTTTCCCATCAGACATGGATTTTCCCAGGGAAAAATATCCAGCATGCCCCTTCCCCAAGTTGGCTAACGAGAACGTTCTTATTTACGTATTTAAAGAAATACAGTTCTGTAAAAATCTAATTTTGTGTTCTACGCCCCCACCACCCCAGGTCTTCTGTCATCTGCCTAACTTTTTTAGGTAAAAGAAACATTCTCTAACTCCTACACCCTTGAACCATTTTCTCTGTAGATTTCATTCCTCAAAATTGTGCCCTGAAACTTACCAGCTAAATCCCTCTCACCTTTTACAGCCCCCAGAGGGTCTAGATTACCAATCACCAATACATATCTCATAAACTTTTGAGTTTTCTAATTTTAAGCCTCAGAAGTCACTAGTAGTCAGGTCCAGAAATTCTACCTATATGCCTCAGGATTACAACATACATGGTGACATTTTAAATAATGGGTCAAAGAACGTCCTTTTGATGGACCTATCCTGTCAAAGATTTGGTAGAGCCTTGGGTAATCTTCTTGTCAATAATCCTGCCCACCATCCGGTGCCATCGCTTGCTACGTTTTCTGCTCTAGATTCCCATTTCCACATCCTGCACTCAGCTGCTTTAAAACAGCAAATCCTGCAGGATCCTCTGCTAAGTCCTGTTGGCCCAGATGGTCTGTGTTCCAGAGCAGCCGTGCTCAAAGGGGGAGTGGGGAGGATGCCGCAGCACACTCCACATTTCTAGCCTGTGTGGAAGGGTGTCCTGATGGGAGGAAAAGCTGTCACTGGTGTGTATTTGCAATCATCTCCCATTTACTTGCACTTCTATACTGCCCATTTCCCTTGTCCCCCAGCAGCATAAATTATTTCCAAATAATTTATACTGATCTCTTCAAGTATTTCTATCAAATGTTTGAACATTTTTTGTTGGTTTCTGATTCTATTAAAAAATAATGACTTTTTAGAGCAGTTTGAGGCTCACAGCATCTAATTCCATTTTGAGCCCAATTTTCCCAATATCCTCTGAATTTGAACCAGATCATTCTAATATGACTTTGAAAATAAAACCATGCTCACAGGCAAAAACAGATCTTGCTCTTCTTAAGGCTAAAATTTGTTTCATGTCTCCTTACTAGACAGAACTTCACAAGGGCAGCCTTCCAATCTGATTTAGTCACCCCTGTATCCCCAGTGCTCCCCAGTACTGGGCACACAGGCACTTAATGTCTGATGAATAAATCAATACACATTTTTTTTTTAAAGTAAACTCTACCCCCAATGTGGGGCTCGAACTCACAATCCTAAGATCAAGAGTTGCATGTTCTAATGACTGAGCCAGGCAGGCACCCCATGAATCAATGAAATCTTATTTAAAGACTCATACTGTATAGCCTTCAAGAGTACCAGATTTTCTTGAATTCTGTCTTAACCACCACAATACAGATAGTGCAACAAACAACATAACAAACATCTAGAAACCATTTTTTTTGGTACTCTCGAAGCAAAAAAGCCCTATTATAATTCTTCTATCTAGGGAAGTCTAAAGATTTGATGCAGGATAATTCTGAATTAACAATGAGGGTGAGTCTTAGGACCACTCCATGCATAGCCTCTATCTTTAGGAAGGACATTTTCAAACTTTCCCTCCGATACTTCCACTTTTATTTCCCACCAAAATGTGACGCTTCTGCTATTTGGAGAAACTAAGGCACAAGAGAAAATCAAGTACATCAAAGGTTTACCCCTAAATTATTTATTCAATGAACTCCTAGGAACACCTCACTAACACTGAGAGGCCTCTAAGGTATAGAACTTAAGCCATGATTTTACATTTCTAGTTCTCAAGGACACGCTTCGAATTTACTTCGTTGTTAAGAGGAACTGGAGTTTTTTTTTCTTTCAGAAAAAAAGCTATTTTTTATTTTATGGAACTCCTAATACAAAAAGGTTAACATTCCATCTTCTGGGAAAGGAAACTCCTAATAACTTGTTTCTTTCTAGTTCAGCCACAGACTATACTAAGTCACCAAATTCAAAGGAGAAATTTGGCTTTTGGGTATTTGTGCTAGAGAACAGAAGAATGCATAATCTAATTAGCTTATCTTAGGATATGTTACCAGTGATAAGTTTGAAATACATCGCAGTTCAATTATCCTGCTTGCTCTCATTACAGGCAGCAAACAGGTAGGAAAAGGAAGTCAGAATGCACTGGAACTTTCCTGGCCAGTTATTTGCAAGGCTGTTTTTATATATATGGTCGGATAAAAGCCACCGTAAGTGGAGAATATATCTGTAGATACAAAAACTGTTTGCTTCTCAGTCTATGTAAAATTAACTGTAGGATATTTGTCAATCTCACACACACACACACACACACACACACACACACACACACACGAGCTGATGGTTAAATCAACTAAGTTTTTATGGCTTTTACTAGAGATAGCTGTGCTAAGGGAAGAACAGGCAGATTCCATTTTAACTAGTTACAAAATCGGTGACACAGAGTCTCATATATCTTTCCATTTTTATGCAACCCTCTCTCGCTAGAGAAATGCTTTGGGAAAAAACACATGGGTTGTGTCTTCCTTTAGTACATATGGAGACGAGGAGCTCTGGGAGGTTTCATAGGCTCCAAGGCAGAACAGTTTTAACACACACCCACCATCTATCCCGTTCTCTTTGCCAAGCAACTGGTTATCTTTATATGTTAATGGCTAAGGCCCAAACTGTGGGATGAAGGCTACTGGCTGATGTCTGGAGGCCTAAACAGGTCCAAGTGGAAATCATTCTTATCAGCTCCAATGAGCAAAATCTACAGCCTCTGCACAGCTGTCAGGTCACCAAGGACATTGCTGCACACGCGAATCAACTTAGGGTAAACTGCAGAAGTCATACAGGACAATCTTCTCCTCTCTTTGGTGAATAAACAGAGACCACCCTTGGAGGTGAGTGCTGACCACAGAACTGTCCATTACTGGTTGTGGCAAAGAAGCTGTCAGTAAAGTGGCCCATTACTGCTTATGGCTGACCAGTATCAGTATTTTAGCAACCAAAGGAGTTCACAATGATTTTATCTTACTTTAAGAGAAGTTAATCTTGAATTTCTTCACTTTTTAAAAAAAGGTTATTTTAACTTTTTTTTTTTTTAAATAATCTCTACACCCAACGTGAGGCTCGAACTCACGACCCTGGGATCAAGAGTCGCATATTCTTCCGACTGAGCCAGCCAGGCGCCCCAAATTTCTGCACTTTCAAAAAAACTGACAATGAAGGTTCACTAGTGTCATGTTCCTTAGTTCCCTTTGTGTTTTAAGAACTGCAAAATTTAAGAATGATTCAAGATCCTAACAATGTCAACAACTTCACTTTCATACAAATGATGGAACAGGAAATAAGGTTTTAAAAATCGAAGCAATTATACACTGAAAAATAAATGATGAAAAAGGACCAGGATATTTGGCAAGTGGGTTCAGCTCATTCACTCAAAGTACTACTAACAAGAATACATGTACAACTATAGGCCTATTCAATTTTCTCCTAAAAATAAATATACATATGTAGTAAAAAGCTATTATAATAAAACCTTTTCCAGGCTGATATTCTGTATTCCACCTGGGATTGATTCCCAAATCTCTGCACTGTGAAAACTGAGCAGCCAAGCCTCTGAGCAGTACGTCACTACCCAGACAGAAGACTATGAGGCCCATCTTCACGCAGAGGCCTTTTTGGAGGAGTCTGTTGTCATCGATAACTTCCCCCACCTCACACCAAACCCACTTCGCAACCTTAAAGATTTATAAGCTTAGAATAAATTCCCAATTACCACCCATAAAGCAAATACAGGGGCCATTGCATTGCTACTAGATTTTGCTTCAATCATAGCACCAACTACTTAATTACAATCACAGCTCTAAGAGTCGGTTGACAGAAATCCTATATGCAGTTTCCTAGTGCATCTTACATCTTTGGTGTGGGGCAGGCAAAAGGGTCTGCGACATGTGATTGTCTAAAAGAATATCTTAAAGACAACCTGGCTGACCCGCTGTTCTGAATGCCCTCTTGAAAACAGTAAACCACAACTCCTTCTGTCAACCATCTCCTAACTTCAGAAGATCATGATGAATCTATGTGACTTTCCATCACATCACTAAAGTCTCATTAACACACAAATATCACAGCAAAAGGAAAAGATGGAATAGGGTAGAAGAGAAATGTCTCTAAGTGCCCCCAAATAAAAATTTCAAAAACTCCTGAGATATGAGCCTCCATTTTGATTGTGCTCAATGACTCGAATTTTGATGGAAAGAATAAGCTTCCAAAGAGAGTAAGACTTTAGACAAAATCATTTAACACTAAGTTCACGAATCACCCTTTGAAAGCATCTGTTTCAAACACATTGCGAACCAGAACTTGGAATCGGGAGTTATTCTCAAAATTCTTTTCAATAAAACCAAGATTTCGGATTCCTGCTAGGTATGTAAGAGAGTTTATTTTCCAGGAAAAACTACCTAAAATCTATCCAGTAGGATTATTGCACAGTGGGGCCCACAGGACAATGGTTTCCAAGGGCTAGTCCTCATATAAAAAAAGGCCACAATAAATACATCTATATACTATGCCCCACTCTACCTTGACATGGTAAACACAAATATGAGCATCTTGCTTTAAAAAAGAAACTCCTGAGGAAAGAAAGGGATGGAAATCTCTACCCAAGGCCACTTGAGTCAGAAACTGCAGTTACTATTTCCGGTGCCATGAAGGACACTCAACAAAGAGACTGACCATTCCAAGCACCAAGATGAATCAGTGACAAGGTTATCCCACTTCATAATATTTCACTCAGATCACAGCTCAACCTGAGCTTTAGAAGAAGTTCCTAGTAGATGAGCTTCGAAAGGAAATAAACTGCTGGCGATCAACCCATTAGGAGATCTTTAAGTTCCTCATTAACCACTAAAGGTTGAGGTGTGATCAGTAAGATGCTAGCAAACCCACTCTCTAATCAATTCCAGTGTTTCGGCCATTTTTCACTCCTAGTTCTTGAAACATCACCAGGACATTTGCAAATGGAATTACAGACTCTTCCCTTTTCTTATCTGGGTAGCACCATGTTTCACTCTGATGTTGACTCCCCCGCTCCCCCCCCCAGTGTCCCACCCCAAATACTTGGCAATCCATGCAGCAGCCTATGATGCACAAAGCAGCCCAAGTTCTAAACCCTCCCACCTCATCCCATAAAAAGGTCAAATCTTAACCAAACAAATAAAAACATACCACTCTAGGAGGTATTATTCAACTATTCTTCAATTTTCTGTTGTAACTGATGAATCATCAATACACAGAGCACTAAGTGTAATTCCAAACACCAAACCATGTGATCCAGTTTGTAAACGGACAACTGAGCCAACAAGCCATACCTTGCCTACAGCACATACACAGCCAAAATGGGAAGCTGATTTGCTTCTAGCTGCATGGGCGGTGGGACTTCTCATGGCTTCTGCTTTTTAAAGCATTCACTCTCATTCTAAAATGGTATGCTATACACAAAACCATCAATTTTATTCCAGAATACATCTTAATGATAATAAAAAGCTTTTGTATGCACATTACTGCCAATACATTTAAAAAGGCCCAAATTTTAACAAAGAGAATAGACAAATTCATCAGACAAGAGATAAGTTACTTTGGCCGAAAAAAATCCTTAAAAAAAATCTGGCTCAACATTCTGCTTGCAGGTTTCTACATATACTGTATATGTGGTGAGTGTGTATGTGTGCGTGTGTGTGTGTGTGCGTGTATAGCTTTTTTAAAGGGAATGGAGTATGGTCTAGCCCCCTTTTCCATGGTTATGTAGGAACTACAATGTTCTTTGCTAGCAAAACAAGAAGTGCAAGGTCTGCATTTCCACCAACTCGATGCAAAGCCCCAAGAGCTTCCTGCAAAGTGAAGCCGGCACGGAGAATGCGGTCAATGTCTGCGGCGGGAAAAATTAATGGTGAAAGAATGGAGGGACTTGATGATGGCTGGTTGGGAGGTGGTTCAAATTCAAGAAGTGGTCCTGCAGCTTCAGGACAGACATCTTCTCTGGTCTCAGGCCTGTCTGGCACTGGCTTCTGTGTGCCCTGACCCAAATCTTGAACCAGTATGAAATTGGACAAGGACTTCGCTTGCTCAGAAGTGCGACTGACTGCATCCTCCTCACCGGCTAAGCGTTTGGGTGGAATGTCTACACCTAAGGTGCAGTGTGACTGATTAGACGTTTTAGCTGAGGCTAGAGTGGCAGAGCTGCTCTCCTTTCCAGATTCCCTAGGCTCGGGGACACTTTCCTTATCTGTTACTAGGCCATCGCCCGGATCCCTTACGGTACTATTTTCTACTGCATCTACTCCAGCACCATTTGAAGTGTCTGGTAAGTTCTCTGCCCTCACTGATACAGATATGCTCTGACGAAGGGTGACCTGTGAATGCTCTTTATCCTGGGTAGCTGTAAGATGTTCACTTTGGGTCCATCTTTCAGAAAGGTCCTTAATAACTGTTGGGCCCTCAGTTACCATTTCCGACTGACAGATAACTTCCCCAGATATATTTTCTGAAGCTGGTTTACTACTAATGACCAGAAGTTCATGGAGTTCCTTCAAGGCTGCTGTTAAAGATGAGCAAGATTCCTCTGCTGACTCCACAGAGGGCTGAGAACTGCCACAAAGACTTAAAGAGGGGGAGCAATCCCCATCTTCTTTACTTGTTCCAGACATTTCAACATTACTGTCTGGGAGCTGTAAATCCTGAGTGCAAACTGAATTACTCAAAATTTCAGACGAAGGGTTACATTTTGATGTTTCTACTTCCATCAAGGGACTATCTAAGGTGAGAGCAGATGCACCGATGTTCTTGACACTGGCATGCTGACCATCTGCTGAATTAAGCACAGCAACTAGGGACTCTTCAACTGTATCTACTTCCATAAGTGTTTCTGAGTTTGAGCAGCCAAAGCATCCTGAAGGTAGAGTATTTTCCTCTGTACCTGGAAGGTCCACATTCTGTTGTAGCCTGTCTTCTTTCATTGTCGATTCCAAATCAACACTTCTTTGTTGATTCTGTTGCCTTTCTCCAAGAAGTTCAAAGTCCTCTGTGTTACAGAGATGTTCTCGGTCATTTAGAGCATTCTGTTGTCCAACCCCGTGCTGTTCATTCCCTGGTTCTTTGTGCTGCTGAAGGCCATTCACCTGACGCAGGTTCTGATTTTCTGGATGCCAACCCTTTTCACCTAGAAACCCCGCTGGTTCTTGCACCCTAGTAGTTGTGACAGATACACTAGCTTGCTGTCTTGTGTGGAGATGAGATCTGAGGCCCTGGGTGCTTCTTTCAGCAGATTTCTCCATATTATCGGCAACAATGGCTTCTTCAGAGGAATTCTGCAAAGGCATGGCTGGACTCTGGTCTGCTGGAGCACTGTCTGCTGAAGAAGCACTATCAGAAAGATCCTGCAGAGGAAGATGTTCTTTCTTTTCAGAGGTTATCTGGAATTCAGCTGAAGCCTTCAAAGCCTTCACAGCTTTAGGTTCGATGCTGTCGGGGTCACTGGGCTTGATAGGGCAGACTGAAGCAGAGACAGAGTGAGCAAGACTCATAGGATTACCAATCTCAGGACTCTGTCCTGAAGGATGGGCTGGATGGTTAAATCCATTTGAAGTTGGTAATGATGACATTCCCAGTGAGGTAGTTTCTTTACCGCTTTTCTCTATATGGAACAAAAAGGAAAACAGATTAATCAGCAGGTTACAAAGGCCACTAAATTATCAGATGATAAGATTTAAACAGGACAGAACAAAATCAGGTCCTTAAACTTGGGTTTGTCTTATATTCATAGACTTATACAAGAACCATTCTCACTGGGGTAGACAATTTAACATCACAGCATCAGAATAAGAGGTAGGTACATTCTTAATAAAACATGTGCACTCTAATTCAGTATTTTTCTTTAAGTACCATTAATAAACATCCACATAGTGACTGGGTTAGTGCTCAAGACTGAGGGAAAAGGATGTATCTTTATTCTCAGTGAGCTCAGAACTCTAGAAGAGTTTCTCCAAGTGTATTCTATCACTTGCCCTGAAATCACCTGGCATGTTTGCTAAGCGTGCACATTCAGGGGCACTCATCCTTGGGAGGAAAGCCATGAATATGCATTTTCAATAAGCTCCTCAGGTGATTCTTAAGCATGTCACAAATTTTGAGGATCTCTACACTGAACAATTCTCATGTCAATGCACTTTTAGTGTTCCAAATGTGAACACGAAGGTTCTAAACGACAAGTCTAAATCCGGGTATATCTGGAACGGAGTAGGAATTATAATGAGAATCTCCAGAAGACAGAGAAACATTCCATTTAATTCATTTCTATCCAAACTTCCTGAAAATCAGGATAAAACTATGTGAGTGTGGAGTCAAAGAACAAAAATAAGGCTAAAGGTCAAACAGATTCAATCCAATCATCACCTTACCAAATAGGGCAACTCTGGAAAGGATTATCAGTTACTTTATCACATTAACATAGTACAACTAAGTGAGAACATTTAAGTACTTTAAGGGCACGGTAGGGGGTGGTCCTGGCAGTGGAAGGAGATAGTTTGTAATGGTTTTTTGCCAGGCAATGACAATTTAGATTGACTGCAACTAACTGAGCACTCACAGGATGGCAGGCTCAAACACCACCTCATGACACCATTAATCATCACTCCAACCCGCCTTTTGCCACCGATCCAGTTAAACATTGACCTCTATGCAGTTACTATAAGATCTTTAATTAAATGTCAAAGGCTGGTAACAAAGATTACTTCACAATACAATCTATTAGGGCAGATGTGACTCAAATGCTTCATGCTGATTAACATCCAATGTGGGGGGCCTGATCTTAAGAAGGCATGAAGCAATCCAGTTAGGATTCAAACAGCTCTAAATCATTCTAATGCGACATTGGTTAACAGCAGGAGAAGATAAAGCATTAACTACGTCAGGAAGTTACGGACTTCTTGCAAAACAATCTGATAGCTTAGAGGTAAAAGGGAAAACAGTATTTATTTCAGTGCAAATTATATCCATTAGTGCCTAGAAACACAGTGATTAGTTTTATTTATCAATCTCTAGAGCTGACTCTGAAAGAGGTTCAACTGAGAGTTACTGCCAACAGAGAAGATGAGTTACAGTGAAGTATCCATGTGAGTGGCATAGGGTATGTGATAATGGCTTTCTGGCACCAGCGTGCCAGTTCGGACGACTGAGTGACGTCAAGGAGAACATGGCCTCCATGTGTTTGGTGCTCACTATGAAAGCAGCACACAGTCCTCCTGTAGCTGAGACGCTCAGTCTCACTGGCCTAAGTCCTAACTGTAGGGGAGCGCTGGGTCAGTACTACAGGGTAGGGGAAGGGGATGAGGGCAATGGATATGAAGGCTAATTAAACCGTGTCTACTTTTACCCCACCTTTGTAAGGAAAAAGGAAAAAAGAAGAAATTGAGTGCTAGGTATCTAATTACAACCAGCCTGCAAACCCCTATAAAGTCTAAGGTTGGTAGTTTAAAGACTTTCTTCCCCTTGAGAAGTCAGCCGGTACGCTCAGGCTGCTGTCCCCCAGATTTACACTCTAGGGAAACAGGGGCAGAGCGCCTCCGGGCGAGAGTCTGTCAGGCTAGGGAGCGACGGAAGAGCCAAGTGTCAGCTCTTCTTTCTGGGAGAATAAAGCCTCAGTCCTGCCCACATTAGTGAACCTGTGTCCCTAGACAAGTCAGCTGGTCTAGGCTTCCACTTCTTCCTCAGTGGACTGGCAATTTCTACCTGTCTCTAACTCTATGTGGTTGTGTGCAGTGCTAGGAAAAAAGAACTTTCAGGTTTTCAGAAGAAACAGACTCAAGAAACCCCTGATGGTGTAGTTACCCCAACAACAATGCACTGTGGTGCTGACTTTCTTGATTTGATATATTCACCATGGCCAGATGGGCCGTTTTTCCTGGGATTTCCCTCCCCTCCTTGGACTGTTCCAATGGTTGAGAAAATTTGCATAGGAAATTGTGCTCATTTACGTACGTATGCCAACACACAGATGCATATACAGGCTAGTTGTAACCAGATTAAACAAGGTGAAATGGATGGCAGAAGCTAAATTCCAAAACTGCTGCAGATACAGAGACTTTCAGACCACAGACGATAACTGGATGGAAGGCTTAACGTGGTGTCTATAAATACCTGGTCTGGGGCCCACTCCAGCTGCAGTACACACACACTACATGCATCATGGCTTCTGACGCTCTGTTTGAATTAGGAAACAGACAAGCAAACTTGGGTTAACAGTGCAAACCACACAGCATGCAGGGTTTTGTCTCCATTCCTCTGCCACCTTTACAATCAGGAACTGGTAGAGTCAAGCTTGGGGAATGTTTCTGTAGTCTAGTTGGTTTAATTCTCTCACAATACATAAAGCAATGTGTCAACTTCAACAGATTTTTCAAAAGAACTTGGAAAGAAATGAACTTCAAACACCCACACACACAGAATTCACGGGCAGACATGTGGGACGGGTGGAGAACAGCAGACCCATAGATGGAATCACACGGTATGGAAATCTTAAAGGTGAGCGAACGCTTGTAACAGTCACTTTCCAAATTTCCTTCTCAGTTGAGATTTATTTTTAGAGGAAAAACAAACCAAACTGGATTATCCTGGCTTATCTTTTAGCCAGTTTTTAGAAGATGTATTAGATACAGCTCCTTTCGGATTTATTTTTCCATTGATAGAAAAGATAAAGACACTCTGGTATAAGGTATCCACCAAAGAAACACTTTTTAGCAAAAATACTTTCACCTACTATGTCCAGAGTTTTGATTTTGATGATACTGGGAAGTCGGTGTTCCAAACAAACAGGACCTGATGTAGAATTATTTCACTATTTATTTATTTTTATTTTTTTTTTAAAGATTTAATTTATTTATTTGAGAGAGAGAGAGAATGAGAGATAGAAAGCACGAGAGGGAAGAGGGTCAGAGGGAGAAGCAGACTCCCCGCCAAGCAGGAAGCCCGATGTGGGACTCGATCCCGGGACTCCAGGATCATGACCTGAGCCGAAGGCAGTCGCTTAACCAACTGAGCCACCCAGGCACCCTTATTTCACTATTTAAACATTACAAAAATTAGCACAAGCCACGTATCATCAGTAACAAAAAGGCACGTGGGAAAAAACCCATTTCCTTTTAATCCTTTTAAAAAAATATTTTTATTTTTTAATTTTACTTTTAATGTCCTTAAAGTAATCTCTAAGCCCAATGTGGGACTCAAACACATGACCCCACGATCAGGAGTCTCACGGTCTACCGACTGAGCCAGCCAGGTACACACCTCCTTTTAATCCTTTCAATTGGTACATTCCTTTCACTATGCTGAAAACACCTGTGGTTTCTATTTTAATTCCCTGAACTTTTTATTACAAGAAGGTAATTACCCAAAGAGGGTAACTGTTAGTAGGTTAGAAAGCATTGCTATCATCAGCTAGTGCTTCTCAAATAAAAACACCAAATTGTGGGGGAAAAATGGAGATTTCACAAGATGGTAATACATCTTCATTTTATTAATACCCAGTATTATGACTAAGCTGACAAGTTACTAAAAACAGGTAAAACCTTCTAAGTGGGTATGTCAAACTCAGTCAAGCTTGCCTTGCAGGGAAGATTAAAACTATCAATTTAGTCTCTGTCTGGTTGTTCAGAATTCTCCCCTTCCTGCAAAACAGTTATGGCACAACCAAAGCCGTACTTTATATGTAAAACTCAAAGGTGCCAAAAGGTGTGGTGATTAGGAACAAGGCCAGCTTGGAAAACTCTGTCTGCTACCCACACCCATTTTAAAGAGGCTCAGGGCTAGACCTCCGGGTGTTCTCTAAGTAAAAACACTGGCAAAATCTGGCTGCTTATTTTTTAAAGATCCTATCTTTTTTGTCTTTAGGAGAAAGCTATTCCCTGGACTTGTAGCTCTAATACATTTTGCTATACCAGAAAACACAGTGTGTGATATTAGTCACTGATGAGTAATTACAGCTCAAGACTTTAAAATAACCCCACCTTAAAAGTTAATTCTCTTCAGCTTCTAGAAAATGTATCCCAGAGTCACTGTTTTATAACAGATGGGGAAAAATTATGCCATGAAGGTAGGATTTCAGCAAAAATGCGTCCTTGCACTTAGCCCAGAAAACTTGGCTTGGTCTTTAGATTTAAACAAGCCATGACAATTGAGACTTAACGAAAAAATGACTAGGTATCCCCATGTCAACAGCTGATCTACTGTTCTAATTTAGCCCAAGGACACACTATGCAATCTCATCAATAGCATAAACACTGTAGTTTGATTAGTGTTCAATTGTGCATCTTATCGTCGATTCCTCTGTCTATGGTGGCAGCACTTTCAGTACATATTAAAAAGGTCGGGACTGCTTAGTCACAACGACAATGCTATCCTTCAAAGGAAATGGGCCCAAGAAAAGGAAAATAAATTTTCAGGGAAACTGCAGAACTCAAAAGGAAATGTCTGCTTAATTTTTTTTTTTCTTTTTTAAAGTAGGCTCCACACCTAGCATGGAGCCCAGTGCGGGGCTTGAACTCACGACCCTGAGATCAAGACCTGAGCTGAGATCAAGAGTTGGCCCTTCAACCGACTGAGCCAGCCAAGCGCCCTGTAGTAATTTTTGTTAGGAAAAAAGAGACAAGATTTTTTAGGAAGCCTACCAAAATGTGCTTAAGCAAATAACTCCCTGACGTACCTGGTAACACAGCAATGGATCTGTCGAAACACCGAGGTTTTCTTTTTTGGATTCAGAGATAGCAAGAGGTGGTGAGAGGACAAGGAACACATCCATGACAGGACAACGACACGGATTAGAAACTGAAAAGGTCCCCAACCCCTCTGAAGATCCAACCTCCCCCGCTCACCAACCAGTAACAAGAAAAGTTATTCGAGAGCGTGGCCACTGCAAATACCTGCATCCTCTACGGACTTCTGAAGAGCTTCTGCCAATTCCTGGTCTGCAATCTCCTCCGGCCGCACGTCCTCTCGCCCAGCCCCGTATGCCAACCGGGCACACTCTGGTAACTCTCCCTCGGGAAGGAAGGTGGTCTGAGAGCCTGTGGTGCCGATCACGAGCACATTTTTCTTGAGGTCAATGGAACACTTAGAAGGAAGAAACCGAAGACAGATGACAGTGGATAAAACGCCATGCAGAAAAATTATCATGAATTTAAATAAAGTTTTATTTCATATTTAAATATTTTTAAGTATTTAAAGTTTGTAGCAGAATCATCTTCACTGGATGCGGTTTACACTTATTCGTCTAACCCAAGCTCTATTCATTTCTGAACTTAAATGTAATACATGTTCATTGTAAAAATTTGGAAACATGCCAGGCATAATCAGCAGCCCCACTTTTTAGAAACATGTAAGTAACTTTTTCTTATAAAACTGAGACATACTATTTATACATTCACATTTACATTACTATTTACATTTTGCTTATTGCATAAAGTACAACTTATATTTAAACTTTATACCAATGATCTCAAAAGTGGTATATGGGCAAGGCCATCTCTACAAAAGTATTTTTTTTTTTAAAGATTTTATTTATTCGTTTGCGAGAGAGATAGAGAGAGAACAAGCAGGGGGAGAGGCAGAGGGAGAGGGAGAGGGAGAAGCAGACTCCCTGCTGAGCAAGGAGCCCGATGCGGGACTCGATCCCAGGACCCTGGGATCATGACCCAAGCCGAAGGCAGACGCTTAACCATCTGAGCCACCCAGGCACCCTCTACAAAAGTATTCTTTATTTCATACTTATGCTGTCCTCTTTTTTTGTATATTTTTCTGTGTATATGACATAGGACAGTACACACATGCATGTTTTATATCTGTCAAGTTGGAGAGTACTGGTCTATACTAAGACTAACAAATGGAGAGAGATGGTGACAGGTTAAAAAATTGGGTTTTATTAAAACATGCATTCACTCATCCCTTCTACTTAAAATTCTACACCTTCAGTAGAATATTAACGCAGTATGTTTTATAGGAATTTAGTAATAAAAATCTTTTTAAAGAGTACTAGTGACATAAAAATATTGACTAGATATGAAATATTGCTGTGAAAAATCTTATTACCCAGTGGACACTGCTTCTTCAATCAGAAGAGTTTATCTTTAAACAAATTATTAGACTTCAGAGTGGAAATATAAATATCACTGCAAGCAAATATATTTACAAATCATCCTCCCTGTACTAAATAAACATTTCCACTCCCAACATCTCATGTACACCTTCCTTAATCCTGCAGCTCTTCTTACTGAGCATCGTCTGCCTAGGTAGTAAGGAGTTACTAAACGTATACTTGCAGTAAAATCACCATCATGATGGCACCTGGGTGGTTCAGTCAGTTAAGTGTCTGACTCTTGACTTCGGCTCAGGTCATGATCTCAGGGCTGTGAGATCGAGCCCTGAGTTGGGCTCTTTCCTGGCCATGGAGTCTGCTTAAGATTCTCTCTCCCCTTCTCCCTTTGCCCCTCCCCCACCTCTCAAAACAAAAAATTACCATCATGTGTTGTTCAGATCCCGCAAACCCGTCAAAAATTACCTGAGTTCCCATCAAAAACTAAAAATAACACAAGAGAACAAAGTTGCCCATTATAATCTCAAACAGATGGCAAGATTTAAAAGATTCAGAGAGATTTCACAAGAAGAAATTCTATTTCTATGGATACATAATTTCAAACCATGCATGATGACATCCTCAATTCAGGACCTTTCCAGGTTGGAGAAGCCATGGCCTCTCAGTTTTCCGGTATACACAACCGAGGGAGATGATGCGCTAATAACCATGTAACACACAAAATACCGATGCAAAAGGAAAGCAAAGCTCTAACTACCTGATGCCGCTTCAGCATGTCCAGTCCCAGAAGCATGTCCATGGGCTGTTCCTCAAGTATAGAGAAAGAACACGCCAGGAAATCTCCTTCAATCTGAACCTGAGCTAAAGCACATTAAGAGAAGAGATTATGGATTTTTATTTTAATCTCTACTTTTTATTTGATTTTATTTTTTTGAGATTACTGATTTTTGCTTCAAAAGCCTCACACAAGCTTCGGAAATGTACCTATCATTCTGTGCCTTGCTCCCTGTAATCAGCCAAAGCCAGGGCAAGGCATGAAACAGGTGAGTTAAGTATCAAAATCCAGTAAGCCTAACGATTGGTTTGAAAGCCAATGAAGGCACCAGCTTGTAAAGTGGGTAAGAGTGGAACGACACTACCCAGAATACCCGGCTAGATACATGGTACCATCGGGACACATGCTCAGCTGGTAAGGAAAGCTGGCCCTAAGTTCCTCCAATATTAACCACTTGCTTCCTAAACGTGTACAAAAGGCTTTCTAAAAGGGAAATAAAATCTGTACATAAGTTAGCCTCCAAAAAGTAAACTGTTTATTAATGCCTGTTATAATCAAGTTTCTATTTGCGAAAGCCGAGACAAACCAATGCCTGTGTTTGCCTGGAGCCTCCTGCTTTGCCTCTTTCCTTAAGTAGTCCTCTTACTTTATATATATATATATATATATATAATATATTACATATATATATAATATAATATATTAAAATTACTTTGTTGGGGCGCCTGGGTGGCTCAGTTGTTGAGCATCTGCCTTCGGCTCAGGTTGTGATCCCAGGGTCCTGGGACCAAGTCCCACATCGGGGTCCCTGCTCCACGGGAAGCCTGCTTCTCCCTCTCCCACTCCCCCTGCTTGTGTTCCCTCTCTCACTGTCTCTCTCTGTCAAATAAAAAAAAACTTTAACAAATAAAAAAAATAAAAATTACTTTGTTATTAAGTATACCTTTTTTTTTTTAAAGATTTTATTTAGTTTTGAGAGAGAGCATGAATGCACTGCAGTGGGGGAGGTTGCAGAGGAAGAAGCAGGCTCCTCTCTGAGCAGGGAGTCCAACTCGGGACTCGATCCGAGCACCCTGGGATCACGACCCGAGCCAAAGGCGGACTCTCAACTGACTGAGCCCCCACGCACCCTGTTCTTAAGTTTATCTTACAAACAGAAGAGTATATGAAATGTGTACAGTATAAAGCCTAATAGAACAAACACCGATGCATTTATTTCCCAGGTTAGAAAACACAAAGCACAGAAATCCCCTATATATTCTACCGATCAGAACTCAGTGACTTCTCCAACCTTCCCTACTAACCTGGTTTTTGTGTTCATCATTCCCAGCTTTTTAAATAATCCTTACCAGTTCTCTATGATTTCTAAGCAGCATTACTGTTTAACTTTGTGTTTTTGAACTACCATTTCCTTCTTTACTCAAAAAATATTTTGAGATCTATCCCTGTACATGGGACTCTGTTTCTTTCACTTTAAATCACCCCTTAGAGTACTGTAATGTCTAATATACCACAACTGATTTACCGATCTATTGCTCCGCGACTTTCTGGGTCGCTTTCAGTTTTCTGCTGTCATAAGCAATGCTACCCTGAATATTCTGGTACTTGTCTCCTGGTGTTGGTGTGTATTCAGTTTCTCTAACGGTGTGTGTGTGTGTGTGTGTGTGTACACACTATGATATATATATATATCATAGTAAATGGAATCAGAGTTCTAGGGAATATCAGGCTCAACTTTGCTGGGTGATGCTGAATTTTCTAAAATGTTTCTAGCAGTGTATAAAATTTCCACTGCTCCACATTCTCACCAACACTTGGTTTTACAGATTTAAAATCTTGCTAATCTGGCAAGTAATTTTGTATTTCCCTGATTAATAATGAAAAAATTTTCATACAATTTAACCATTTGGGTTTCCTGTTCAATACTGCCTGTGGGCATCTGGGCAGCTCAGTCGGTTAAACATCTGACTTCAGCTCAGGTCATGATCCCAGGGTCCTGGGATCGAGCCTCATGTCAGGCTCCCTGCTCAGTGGGGAGTCTGCTTCTCCCGCTGCCCCTCCCCTCTGCTCCTGCTCACTCTCTCTCTAATTAAAAAAAAAAAGTGCTTGTTTAGTCGTTCCTGCAATTTTTTTATAATTTTTTTTTTTTTTTTAAGCAGGCTCCATGCCTAGTGTGGAGCCCAAAGCAGGGCTTGAACTCATGACCCTGAGATAAGACCTGAGCTGAGATCAAGAGTTGGACCCTTAACTGAGCCACCCAGGTGCCCCTATACTGTCTTTTCTCCTGAATTGGAGGACAGACAACACACACATAATGTACATATTCTGAATCTGAATCCTTTATTAGTCATATGTGTTACAAAAATTCTTTCCTACTTTGCATTTGTTCACTTTCTTTATGTCTTTTGATAAAAAGTTCTTAATCTTAATGTGGCCAAATTTGTCAAATAATTTCCTTCTTAACTTTTAAGGAACCCCTTCCCCATGCAAGATATTCTCCTATATTTTCTTCTAAAAGCTCTGACTGCCTTTCACATCAAGGTCTTTCATCAACCCTGAACTGACATTTGTGTGTGATGTAAGACAGGGTCCAATCTCCAGTTCATTTTTTCCACATGGACACCCAGCTGTCCTAGCACCGTTTCCTGAAAACTTCCCTCTGCTCCGTAAGATTTCCTCTCTCATTTGTCAAGGTCCACGTAAGCATGGGTCTGTTTCTGTTCTAGTCCTTTGGTCTTGACATCTAGAAGGGGAAGTTATTCCAGAGTATCCTGCCTATTCCTACAATAAATGGCCCATGTAAAATTTTAAGTTAGCACATCAGGTCTCACAAAAAAAAAAGAAACCTACTGGGATCTTAAGGGTATTATAATGACTCTACTGCTGATGAATGTGGGAGAATTACCACCTTCGACATCCTGAGGCTTCTTATCCGTGACATAACTCCCCTTTACTTAGATTTCCCTTATAATCCTAAGGTTTTCTTCCTCCCTATCATAGCCAAAGCTGCAAATGCTACAGCTTGCCCATCCACAAGGAAGGACACAAGAGACTGGTACTTACTTTACTTCCTCCTATCATTCTCCTACTTAAAACCACAAAAATTCTGAGAATTCAGACTCTGAAGCAAACATTGTGTGATAGTTCAGGCCCACTGTAGGTAGGGAAGTATATGTGAGGAAGGTATTTAAACTATTCTTAGTCTATACAGATCGACAAAAAAAACACAGAGACTCTAATAGACAAATATATTACAAAAGAAAGAGAAAAATGGGTAGAAACTATCACTGGCAATAAAAGAAACAGTAAACAAACAAACAAACAAACCCTTTTTTAATCTGTACATTAAGGGAGTAAAAACTAATAACCCTTGATTGCATAAGGACCTCAACATGAATACTGATTCATTGCTGGGAAAGCTGCTTTGGTACAAGTTAGAAATACATCAAGAGCTTTTAAGTATTCATAACCTTTGATTCAGTAGCTTCACTTACAGGAATTCTGACTAAAAAAAAATTAAAATGTGCACAAAACTACAGAAAAATCCACTGCCATATTACAATAATAAAATATTGGGGGGAAATTTTATCCTAAGAATCGACCATTAAACCCATATAAGAGAATGCTATGCATCTGAATGGTGCTTATGAAATATATAGTAACAGTAGAGAAATATTATGAATATCATTTTTTCACAAAACAGGGTATAAAATTCTATACATTATATGACCACTTTTTTGCAAGAATAAAATGCATGGAAAAAAAGGCCAGAAGGAGATTAAGTGGGATTAAGTGGGACTTGGTGGTTAAGTCTCACTCAAAAGGATTTAAAGTATTAAGAAAAAGAACAACTTTGGTTAGAGATGAGGGACTGAACACATGTATTTATCTCCATTTACTCCTAAAAGATTCATAATAAAAGTTTATTTAAGGTACAAATCACTAAGGACAAAAATAATGGAAGAAACAACTGAAACACAATTTTGGAACAGAAAGCAGAGGACAGTAAGGAAAACCAGGAAGCAAGCCAGTTCGCATGTCAGAACTCCCCAGAGGCTGATGAACAACGACCTGTGCAAACAGGGGTAGAGGTGGGTCCAAAGCAGGAAGACTGGGTGAAGGTCTCTGTAGGAGGCACAGTTAGATCTTGGGGTTCCCTCTGGCCCTCTGCTCAGTCACGTGACTTCTTCCCTTCACCCCCCACAGTAGACCGGAGGTTTATTTTCTCAAGACGGTAAAACAGAGGTGGGCACGGAAGAAGACAGAGATACAACAAGCATGTAACTGAAACCCAGGGGGATGAAGTTCAAGTTTACTGAGCATCTAGCCCTTTTCTCCCTTCCAACTTCCAGATCACCCACAATTGCCATGGCTGCCCACCCAGGTAATCTTCCAAATAGCCTTTTGGTGTCCCAGTCTTCAATATGAGCAGATGCCAAGGGTCAGCAGACATCTGGGAAAACCATCTAACACAAACATCAAATAAATGCAAAACATAATAGAAAGGTTGGGAGGCAAAGTTGAGGAAATCTGCCAAACAAATAACACACCCAGGACACATGAAAGAGAGAAATAGGAAAGAAAGAAAACTAGAAGACAAGTCCAGGATAGGAGATTATCCCACCCAAGCAACAGACATGGGCGGGGGGGCGCAGGGAGTGAAAAGTACCCAGTGCAGTGGATGAAGACAGATCTACACCCAAGTACATCACTGTGAAATTCCAAAACACTGAGGTCAAAGAAGATTCTACAAGCTTCAGAAATGGGAAAGAAATCTTTCACATAAAGGGTCAAGAATCGGGACAGCAGCCAGCTTCCCTACAGCAACAGTGACAAAAACTGCGGAAAACAGAAATGATTTCCAACTTAGCCACACTGGTAGAATATAGGGGAAAAAGACAAGTTCTGATTCTTAAGGACTCAGTTTCCACCCTTACACTTTTTCTCAGGAAGCTACTGGAAGGTGTACTGTAAGGATGAGGAGCAAAATTACAAAGGGTGAGACAGGGGATGCACATAATCCAATTTACCACCAAGGGGAAAGGAGCCTTTGTGACCCAGGCAAGGGAGATTCTAAACAGCAGCTGTGAGGCAACTCTGAAGCACCCGTCCAGTCTCTAGAAGAATCTTCAACAGGATGAAATGCATAAAGAAGATTTACACAACTAGGTAAGTGGGTTTGGGGACTGAGTAACACACAGAATCCCAAATGACCAAAACAAAACAATTATTACGAGAAAAACAATACTAGACACAAAAGGAAAAGCAATCATTTTCAATTAGATAGCTCAGCTCTCAACAGTATTTACGTACCAGTAACAGCACAATACGCGCGTTATTTTGAAATATGGAGGTAAGCACCAAAAGAAATGAGCTAAAATAGTTGAAAGGGATCTCTAAGGTACAAGAACAGAGAAGTACACAGTGACTGATTTTTCATAACCAGCTAAAACATGTACATGTGTAAGTCAGACAAAACAGAGGATTTAAAATTCCTGGCAATTAGGCTTGCTGCATCAGATATACCTATGCAAAATACATTTTTTAAGAATCTACTATTCTGAAAAGACTCCCGCGGTGCCTTTGCTCACCTAGATGTACCCTTCCAATAATCTTCTGAGTGCCCACTCCTTTGGCGATCCCTGCCCACCGACGGTCCACCAGCCTCATTATATTACACCTTTCTGCACAAGCTTGGCTCATAATAGTCATCTGGGCACCTAGAAGTGGAGGGAAACATCAGATAATAAAAACAAAGTCCACATTTGTGCTAAGATTAAAAATGTAGCCTGAGAACAGGGCAGAGAGCAAGTTCACCCCCAGGCTTTTGTCTGTGTAAAATTATTCATACCTAGCTTAATCTAGCCCTTAGTTGTTCCTGCCACACTTAATTCAACTTCCAGTTACACACTGGAATCTGAAACGCAGTGTAGAAACCTGACAGGGAATGAAAGAATATTTTGTTTAAATGTAATCATTGGAAGACATTTTCAAACTTTACCGACAGAAAGCAAAACTACCTGGAGAGGACTTTCAGAAAGTCAAACCATGTCTACAGATGGAAACACTAAGTTAAGCACTACTTTACAGCCAGATCCACCTTCACCAAGTACCTCTAAACATCTTATCAGATTATTTTTCTTTCGAACTTTGGGACACTATAATTTACTAGGTAAAACGTGCAGTCTCTCAAATAAATACGAGCTGAACTCACCCTCTCTGCGCCAACAATCACACTCTGGCAAAGAGGGCAGTCAGGGTTTTTTCTTGCATGTACTCACCCATGCGGCCGAAGCAGGCCTGTGCAGGAGACAGACATATCTCCGTTTTCCCCTACGGCCCTAATCTCTCCCAAGACTCTAGTCTACGCGTCCGTGTGCTCGACATTTCCATCTCCAAGCCAACGGGTATCAAACCCTTTCTCTCCCAAGTGATTCTCACTTTGGATTTCTCTCCTTACCAACGAAGTTACTTTCTTGCAACACAGAACTTCGTACTTGTGACTCCTTGTCTTTTAGCCTTCTCCCCACTCTCAAACTCGGCTCCAACCCTCTGAGTTAAGTTTTATGCAATTTCTATTTCTGACCTTCCTTCTTCTAACTATACCAATCAGCCCAGCTCACACCCTATTCCCCTCGCTGGTGGACAATTTCTCTGGTTTCCAAACCACTCTGCGGAGGTATAATTTAAAGCAAGGGAATCGTTCTGGCCCTGAGGGATACATAATTTTCCAGATCTGTCACTGTCGTCAGTCTTCCTCAAATATGACCTTCAGATCACTTATTCATCTGCTCAAAAATCCTCAATGGCTCCTCCTCTTTCTAAGATTAGCTTCAAACCACCTGCCACAGTTTCAGAGTCTACCTCATCCTGGCCAGACTGCTTCCCGTTGCTCCAGACCGGATGTCTGTGTCCCTCCAAACCTGCTTTGTTGAAACTATCACATTCCTAATGTGACTGCATTAGGAGGTGGGGCCTTCAGGAGGTGAGGTAGTCACGGAGATGAAATCCTCGGGAACGGGACAAGCATCCTTACACAAGAGCCCCCAGACAGCTCCCTCACCCTTTCTGCCATGGGAGGACACTGAGAAGATGAATGTCTGGGATGGAGGAAGTGGGTCCTCAGCAGACACCGCACTTGCCCGCACCTTCGTTCTGGATTCCCGGCCTCCAGAACTATGAGAAATAAACCTGGGCTGTTCATAAACCCCCCAGTCAGTGGTATTCTTTTATAGCAGCCCCAACAGATGCAGCTGTCAGCCCCATACTCTGACTGTTCTAAACCCTCCACTTGGACAGGACCAAGTTGCTCCCTCTGCCTCTCACTCTCGCTGACCCTCCTGCAGAGCGCCCCCCTCCCCCGCCTTCACTTTCTCTGAGCTCCACTTAGGCGGTAGGGCCCAGCTCAAACCCCGCCTCCTCCCCAGCTGGTCGGCCTTGCCCAGTGATCTCCCCTCTCATTCAATTCCAACACTTCCTGTTCGTTTTACTCATTAGGCACCTTACGCTTTATGGGCACTGAAAGCTCTTGGCATTTGAGGAAGCTTAGATTCAAGAGGGCCCAGCAAAAACGAAGGAGAAGAAAATTGGAGAAAGCAATCTCTTCTCTTCCTCTCTCCCCACACTACGCCACAAAAGCTACTTATTGTTGTAGGGTAAGTGAGCCCCCCCAAGACAAGAAAGGGCTCCTTTCGCAATTCTCCTGCCTTTTCTCAAGCCTTGGCTAGAAGCCCCTTCCTCTGCCCATGGAGGCAGGGCAGTTCAGATGCCTGCTCTGTGGGGAAGCCATGCCTGAGCACCCCAGTCAGAGGGAGAATGGGGTCTCGGTGGCTATCCAACATGCATCTGATTTTTGTGGTCACTGAGTTGTGGCATCAAACAGACCTGGGGCTGAATCCAAAGTCCACTACTCGTGAACTCTGTCTACCTGAAGAGTGACATCACCTCTCTCAGTTTTCTCATCTACAAAATAGGTAATAGTTGAACACGGTTCATAGGGATAACCTGAGGATTAAGTGAAATTAAGATGATTTATATTAAGCACCTAGTATAGTGCTTGGCACAAAGTAAGGGCTCAGTAAATGTTGAGTGTTACTATTAGGGTCTCTTATGTATGTATTTGTCTCTCACTCATAGGAGCCCCATGAAGCTCCAGTTAGTGAGTTTTACTCCCAAACACTCAGCACAAGTGCCCTGCCTACAGCATTCAATGGACTTTTTTTTTTTTTTTAAGATTTTATTTATTTATCTGACAGAGAGAGACACAGCGAGAGAGGCAACACAAGCAGGGGGAGTGGGAGAGGGAGAAGCAGGCTTCCCGCCGAGCAGGGAGCCCGATGCGGGGCTCGATCCCAGGACCCTGGGATCATGACCTGAGCCGAAGGCAGACACTTAACGACTGAGCCACCCAGGCGCCCCTCAATGGACATTTTTTAAACCGAATAATCAGCGAATGTGCTTCTCCCAGGAATGTATGCATCTCAAGATACAAACACCTAATGGCAGGTGAAACCTAGCATGTGCTCAAATAATTGTGGATGAACAAATGGAGGAAAATGTTCCTTGAACAGGGCCTTTTACTACTCTAGGACTCATCCTATCTTAGAGTCTGGGTGAGCTACACAGAATTAAGACATGTAAGACCACTGAGCCGCACCCACACAGTGTTGTGTGTGGTCTTCCTACAAAGCAGAGTTATTACCACGAGGAAAGGTGCCGGCTGGTACAGGGATTATTTAAATCCTCAAGAGGGAAACTCCCTGTCTCCTGACCTGGCTGCTAAGTTCTTTAAGGGCAAGAGCCCTGATTCAATACATGCTTCAACTCCTCATAGCTCCTGGCAAAGTGATGCCACACAGACCACGCTGAGATATTTGACCTACACTCTATACAGTTGCTTCTTACGGCTCCTTTCCTAAACCCATTTATTCCCAAATTTCTTACAGAGGTATCCTAAAAATTCAGGATGCCAAATAAAGGAAGGTAGGAAGATAAAGGACATACTACACAATACAAAACCAGTTAAGAAACAATTAAGAAATAAACCTGTTACAAACAAACAAACAACAAGATTGGCAAGTGAAGTAACCCCCAGGCTTGTTAGCAGTCCAGAAGACTCCTGCCAGCTTTAACAGGCACCAGGCTCCCCTTCTCCCTGTGTCAGGTCAGAATGTCGGAAAGATGGAGAGACTGAGCTGGAGACGTCACCTGAGTCAACAAAGGCTTTCACAGGATGTCCATTCACTTTGCAGTTAATATAAAGCATCACCACTTGACCAAAACTTTCAGGAGCTTCTTCCATAGCTATTGTCATGTTTTCCTCAATGTTCTGTTGCCTGTAACAAACCAAAACCAAGTACAGTAAAATCATTATTTCCAGGAAGGGAAATCTGTTTCAAAGTCACAATATTAAAAACAGACTTGGCTTTCTCTTCAACAGCGGCAGACGCAGAGATGCCGATCTTCGCGAAGACCCTGGCAGGCAAGACCATCAACCTCGAGGTTGAGCCCAGTGACACCAGTGAGAATGTCAAAGCCAAAATCCAAGACAAGGAGAGCATCCCACCTGACCAGCAGTGTCTGATTTTTGTGGGCAAACCGCTGAAGGATGGCCGCACTCTCTCAGACTACAATATCCCGGAAGAGCCCACCCTGCACTTGGTGCTTTGCCTGCGGGGTGGCACCATGGAGCCTTCCCTCAGCCAACTGGCCCAGAAATAAAACTGTGACAAGATCATCTGCCGCCAGTGCTTTGCTTGCCTGCACCCCTGCGCTGTCAACTGCCTTGGGAAGAAGCACGGCCATACCAACCCCCCATGCCCCAAGAAGGCCAAATAAGGCCCCTCCACCGGCTCTTCCTTTGCCTGCAGGGCAGCCTCCTGCCCAAGCCCCCAAGGCCTTGGAGCGTCCATGGTTTCCCTTTCACTGACTAGGGGAAAAAAACCCCAACAGAGCTGTACACCTCTTTCGCCCCTGTTATAGCAGTTGAGTCATGGAAATGAAAACCGATGCTCTTTCCTGCAACAGGTGAGGTGGGGATGCAGCCGGCAGAAAATCAAAAGGCATACATATGGCTTTCTCACGCAAAACAGTTCTCCCTTTATGAGCTCAGATACAGGAAGATAAACCTCTGGAGAGTAAGGGTCACCACCTTTTAATTCTGTAGAATGTGAGAATTTCACGAATGCTTCAATTTTAACGGGTGATTTACTGGGTATCTGGGTACATTTCCTACGCCTTAGAAAGAGTTGGCAAATATAATACATGGGTGTTAACGGTCTGTGCCGTGTCTCTGCTTAACTCCCGAGACTGGGTTTTCTACCTGTGAGTGAGGGTAATGACTCCTGTTGTAGTGTGGCTACGAGGTGGAGAGCATCTAGAACACAGTGACACCAGAAGAGCAGATGCTCAGCAAATGCATGCGTCTCTCTAGTTACCGCTCTCACTTAGAAAACCACACACACACTTATCACGGCTCACATGGGCCGTCAAACCGTTCCTTCAAACGTCACACATATTCTAGTTCCCACACGAGAAAAGGATGTAAAAGGGGGTTCTAGCTTACTCCAACATCTCATGCCTTCATTCCCAACTTTTTAAAAACATGCCTCGGAAAAACCTCATTGGCTACGATACTGCCACTGCGCAAAGTTATCAAACACTACCAACATTAATGGGAATGAGGGCAGGGGCTGGGCAACGTACCTGAAGACTGAGACCCGAACAGAACGGGGCCCCAGATTGGGGATAAACTACAACCACAGACCACCACCCGTTTGTGCAAAGAAACTTCTACGGGAGTGCAGCTGCATGCTCACTTCTGTGCGTCGCATTACGTATGGCCGCTCTGGTACCGGCACTGGCTTAAATGAGCCTCATGACAGAGAGAGCAGGGTCTGCAAACCCTAAAATATTTACTCTCTGGCTGACCCCTGCTCTAACTTGTAGTGCCTGTCCTTTTTGTAATAATTCTCTACCTCAACTGATCTGATGATTTCATCAGCCATTCTGTAATATATGAAACTTTTCAGGAAATCAAAGGCACACTTGCTTAATTTAGTCAGGGAAATATGCAAGCTATTATACCCCAGTGTACATATACCCTGAGTAATCACTGATGCCGCGTACCAAATAAGATTTTAGGAGGCATTTGACAGAATTACACAGCTTTTCTCTTATGCCACATTCATAAATTTAGAAATGAACTAAAATTAGTTGTACACTCCTGACCTTGCATTGACTCCAACCAAGATAAATTTCAGCAAAATCAGATTCTGAGATAGTACCAGTCACTTTGGCTCCTCTGGGCCCTATATGTAAGAGTCTCTTGAGAGGCACAAGGTCTTCTTTAAAAGAGTGTACACATTACCCCATTTCCTTAATCTCCCCTGGCCCCCCATGTGCCACACGAATATGCCTCATCTCACTGCTGCTCCGCCCACAGGGCAGGTCAGGGTTTGGCCACGATGCCTCTCCACTCTCCCTCCCACCACTCCTACTTCCTGGGTTGTCTATTCTTGAGAATTATGTCAGTCAGGTTCCCTAAGAGCTGCAATGGGGTCTAGTTCAGAGAACACAAATTTCTTCCTGTTTCTCTGGGTAGATTTAACTAGCGAGATGTTCTTTCAAAGATATTCATATACTAATATACTGATGCAATTAATGGGGGCACTTCATCAACAAGAACACGAATGGCTTGGGGCTGACAACTGATTTCTGACATACAATTTAAATTTCCCTAATTTCAAGTGTAGTTACAGAAACAAGAAATAAAATAACCATTATTTGACTTCCAAGCTGACAGTATAGTATAATGACCAAGTTGGGCTTCATTCGAGTAACAAAAGATTATGACAACGAAGAACATAGTTCTTCTTAGTTATACAGCAGTCCCCCCTTTCTCTGCGAGGGATACATTCCATGACCCCCAGGGGACGCCCGAAACCACAAAGAGTACCAAATCCTATACATACTATGTTTTTTCCTGTGTATACATACCTATGATAAACCTTCGTTTATCAGTGAAGCATAGTAAGATAGAAGCAGCAATAAAATAATATTCTGTAATAAACATTATGTGAATGCAGTCTCTCTCAAAATATCTGATTGTACTGTACTCACCCTTCTCATGATGATGTTAGATGATAAAATGCCTACTACGTAATAAGATGAAGTGAGGTGAACGACAGAAGTTTTGTGACGTGGTATTAGGCTACTACTGATCTTCTGATCTATCTGCTTCTGGACTACAGTTAACCGAAGAAAACCAAGACCGTGGATAAGGTGGGGGAAGAACTAAGGCCTTAACCGTTCGCAACAAAAACTGAATGGGGGTGGGGGGGGCAGCTGTTCTTTCATTCTAAGGGACTGAAGAGCATCTAGCTCCTGACTAGAAATGTGGCCAAGGTTGGCATTAGCATCACTGTACCTGCTCTGGCCCCACCTCTTAAGATTCTGATCCATCAGATTTGGGAGTGAAGCACAAGCATCTACATTTTTAAAGCTTCTTTTGGGATTTTAACGTAGCCCCTGGTGAGAACAACAGCATTAGAGATGTGGGAGCTGGAAAAGTGTCCGGCAGTCAGTTTGTCCACTGAGGCCAGGCAAGAACTGGAGGAGGACAACAGACCGAGGACTACAGGGTTCCATCTGTCCAGAGCTCTCTCTACTCCAGTCACGCTCAGGTCTGGGTTTAACCAGGGCTCTCGCGTTATGTCTAAGGACTGAGATTCCAGTCAGTCAGCCTAACAGTCTCACCCAGCTAGGGCTTCTGCTCAGCCCCGGGGTCATCTACCTGCAGCTGCTTTGATGATGCACTGTGGGCTGGTTCCGGAGTTTTCATATTCAAGTTTTGGAAGAGAAAGCCATTAAGTTAGGTTTGTAATGTTGAATCAACGTGTGAGGAAAACAGAAGAGGAGAGAATGACCTAAAAGGCTGATGCTGCTCTCTCAAACACAAAACAAGGACGCTGCTTCAGAGCAGATGCCCAACTGATACTGGGTCACCTGTCATTCGGGAACTCTGGATTCTCTAAAGCTTGCTCTTTAGGTAAAGGGTCATTACCTTATATCTTCTTCTATTTTTGCCTGAGCTTCAAGATCAAAAGGGTCAGCAGAAAAGAGACGAATCCTTTCTTGCTCTCTCCGGGCTCGGTCCTGCTGCTGCTCCACCAGGACCCTAGAAAATTTCTCTACAAAAATAAGGGGGAAAGTCTTCAGTACCACTCTATTTCCATTCTTTATTAGTACTTCTCCAGATCAAATACTTTCTCAAGATACAACTGTAAAGAGATGCAGAAAGGAACCCTAAGAATTATTTTAAGTGAGCAATTACATTTACTTGCTATTTTCTGAAGCAAGACTACGTCACCCAAATTCAGTATAAAGAAATCAAGTCTTTGCAAAAATCATTTCTTCCTCTAAGAAGTTATCCATCGTATTATTTCTACCCGGAGATAACAATAGTTCGACTGAAATCAGCGGGAATGACTATCTGTGTGGCAGGTAAATGGCTGCACTCTCCTCCCCAGCTGCTCTTATGAACCTATTACCTAGAAATAAAACAGAGCACGACAACAGGGAATGCAGTCAATGGTACTGTAATAGCGTTTGTGTGGTGACAAGTGGTGCGCCTGTGGTGAGCATGGCATAAGGCACAGACTTGATGAATCACTATGTTATACACATGAAACTAGGGTAACATTGTGTGTCAACTATAGTTCAATTAAAAAACAAAAATCAAACAAAAAAACAGTGCACTACAACCCTGTTTCTCCTCTTCTAGTTCCATTCCCTTTATAACACCCTCTGCCTTAAGCCAGGTTAAGTTAAATGCAAACTACTGTTAGCCTACCTATCTAACCTGATGAATAATAGGAAAATGAGTAAAGAGAAAATATTGCTTGCTTTAAAATGTATGTTAGAAGAATCACCTTAATTTTGCTATTTCTTGAATGGGGGTGCATATAAGTGTACAAAGTTAAACATGCCATCATTGTGGTCTTTGGTGACTAGATCTGCTACATAAGAAATTAAAGACACCAAAATAATGGTCATAGGAACTATTAATACACACACCATGAATGAATCTAAAACACATTAAGTTGAGCAAAAGAAGCCTGACATGAGAGAGGACATAGTATATGATTCCATTTATGTGAAGATCAAAACCATGATTATCAGAATGGCAGTAGCCCATAACTGACTTGTTGCAGAGAATATACTGGAACTTCTGGAGTGAGAAAAATGTTCTGTATCTTGACTAGGGTGGTGGCTACATGAGTTTGCCAAAACTCAAAGAACTGTATACTTAAAATCTGTGCATTTCTGTTAGGTAATTATTACCTCGATCTAAAAAAATGGTCAACTGAAAAATGAGCTATTAAGTATCTGTTACGTTTTAAAATTTAATCAGTACCATTTCATAAGCCCAAGAGTAAAACTAGAGAAATTTACAGAGCAAAACTTTATTCATGAAGCTGACTAAAAATAAGCGTTCTGTTTAATGTAAGAATGGCTCAAATACAGCTCCAAGCAAACTGTTAGCAACAACCCCACTCTCCTTAAACTTGGGGTGGGTGAAAATGAAGGGGTTGGTTCCATTTTACCATACAGGCTGATGGCACTGGACATGTTTTCTGTAACTAAAAGCATTTCACCTGGCAGCAAGCTGGCTTACTAGTGCGCTCTCAAACTGAGAGTCTAACCAAACAGGTTAAAATATCAGTTCCTAGGTTGCGCTGTGAAAATAATTTGAAAAAAAAAATAAAAATGTCAATGGAGGGGGCTGGTCAAGCTGGATTTCAGAACTCTATGCAGTTGTAAAATTCTCTCACTACTGCCAATCGACTCAGCCTTTGATACTAGCACTAATTTACCTAGAGAGCAACTGGTAGGTTCAAGGAACCATGTGACGCGGTGGGCTGAACACACCAGTTGCTTGAGTTTCTCCACACATGCTGCGACAGAACTACTTCCCCTCAGGTCAGCTTGACAGTCTTCCATATTTATAAGCTTACCAAGGTCTCCACTGAGCAGAGCATCTGCCAGGGGCGGATTGCGTTCCTTCAGCAAGGACAGCTCATGGGGGTTGGCCAGTAACATGTCTCGGAGCAAGGCTGGATTGTCCAAGCCCTGAGGAGATGAAGCTATGTCTCCAGGAGATGAGTGGGACTGCTGTGCTCCTGGTGGCTGGCGCTGCCGGGAGACTGACGTGCCAGGCACGGCTATACTACGGAAGTCTATTCGGGGTAAGTCTGTTGGGGAAAATCGGTTCAAAGTTTACTTCCAGTGACTCCATAAAAACAAGCATTTGAAGGGAACAGCAGAACATATGCTGGTACATGGCATGTAGTAAATGGTAACTGCAGACATCTGACCCTTCCCCTGCTCTCTCTCTCAACTAACTGAATATAAAGACAGCAGTCCGAGAGAGAACCCACAGGCAAGAACAGAAAAGGGGTGCTGACAATGGAAGTAACCCTAGATTTTTGGCTTATACAGTATCCCAGAAGAGATGACAAGTTTTTACTTATTTGTGTGTGTGGTTTTTTTTAAGATTTTATTTACTTGACAGAGAGAGAGACAGAGAGAGAGGGAACACAAGCAGGCGGAGCGGGAGAGGGAGAAGCAGGCTCCCCGCTGAGCAGGGAGCCCGATGAGGGGCTCAATCCCAGAACCCTGGGATCATGACCTGAGCCGAGGGCAGACGCTTAACGACTGAGCCACCCAGGTGCCCCTACTCATTTGTGTTTTTAAAACATTAAAGCTAGTCTCAATAAACATAATCACATAATTCTGGATGTAATTCTTGAGAAAAATCCCAGTCCACTTTGACATGTTTCAAAGAGCCTGCACACCTTGGGTAAAGAATACTATACAAACCAAGGGAACTGCATCAATTTTAGATGTAAAATTCTACAAGTCTCTGCTAAACATATTCATTCTTGGAATTTACACTTTCACTCTGTGCATCACTGCTAACTCTTACACCCCCGGAGAGCTAGCAGGTATAATCATTTTACCGGAGAGACAAACAGAAGAAAAGGAACATGCTCAAGTTCTCAGTGCTGAGGTCACCAAAAGATAGAACAGATTTAGAGGCTACAACTCCCAGGTTCTATAATCCAGGCTGAGCTGACCTTATTAAAATGAAAGGAAAATAAAAGGGAGCCTTACACAAAGGACCCACATATTATATGATTCCACTTATATGAAATGTCCAGAATAGGAAAATACACAGAGACAGAAAGTAGACTGATGGCTGCCCAGGGCCAGGAGGCTTGGAGGCAGATGGGGAATGACTGTTAACAGGTACAGTTTATTTTTAAGGTGATGAAAATGTGCTACAATTGATTGTAGTGATGGCTGCACAACTTGGAATATACTAAAAATCAATGAACTGTATCTTTTAATGAGTGAATTATATGGTATATGAACGCTATCTCAATAAAGCTGTTACTTAAAAAGGAGTTTTACCTTGGCAAAGAAAAAGTAGAGCAGAGCCAGAATGGGGGGCTAGAACTGAGTGAATCTGCATCTCCTCAATCCCAAAAAAGTATCTGATGGTCACTCCTGTCCCAAGTCTGAGGCCATCCTGAAGCTTATGGGACATCAATAGAAGAAGGGAATCCTTAAATTCCAGCGTCAGTTTCTGCCTCTTAGCAGGGGTTCAAACTAGACACTCTCTTCAAACAGACCTGAGCCGGCAGCTGGTAAATGTGTATGTGGGCGTGTACGTGTATGAGGGAGTTCATCTATACCAACCAGCAAAACACAGGGGCAGGCCTTCTCTGTGGGTCAAGAAATTTTATCTCTAACCCTGTTACACTTATCTTGAGAGTCCATTCGCTTCAGAGTAATTCTGAGAAACCGGTTTACCTGATAGACGAGATCACCTCCCCTCCCCCACCTGCTGGCTCTCTTGTCCACATGGGACAGTACAGAAAAAACAAAACAAAACAAAAAAAACCAGTGAATCTCCAGAACTAACAATTTCACCAAATTAACCAAAGGAAGATTTGGTTTTTGTTGACTGGCACGTTCGAATCACAACTCTTTCTAAAGTTTAACAGTAGCCTGGAGGGACTCGTGTAACCCCCATCTGGGAAGAAGAGTGCATGATGATGGTCTCTTACAGCCCCAGTCGCAGGCTGACTGGAAGCTTGTGTTCTAAGCTGGAGTGTATCATCCTCATCCAGACACCCGTCAGCTGCTACCACAAACTATAAAACCAGCCAACCTAAAGACTAAACACTGTTTAAAGAAATCTATCTGAAGATAGCAGGGAATGGAAAACACTATTACATTTCATCAAACAGTTCCACCTCAGAACCTTGTCAACTTTCTACAGATCATGAACCCCTCTGAGTATCTGAAGAAAGCTACAGATCCTCTCCCCATTAAGTGCACACATGCTCACAGCCACACAATTCTATGATTATTTCAGGGACACAGAAACGTTCTAAATCCCAATGCACAGATTACAGATTATAAACACCTCATCTGGATGGAACATCAACAGACAACAGCTTCCTTTCATGTGATTAACACGGCCAGTGGGGAAGGAACAGAATTTGGTGGTCCAGCTGCTTAATGCTCCTAAAGCTCAGTATAATGGAAAAAATACCACATTTTTGTTCCCATGCCTTCACTTATTAGCTATGTAACACTGAAGACATTACTTAGAATCAGAGCTTCATCTATTAGTGGTAACAAATTATAAAAAGGAATCTCTTCCCCCACAACAGTGATGAGACCCATGCAACGTGGGTACGAGTGCCTGGCTGACTGCTCCACACAGGCCTGCTAGCCGAGGGCTGGACACGGAGTAGCAAAAGTCAGTCAGGAATCACGGCAGAGGTGGCCTCCTAGGTCCTTCCCAAGGATAAAGTCATTATTGATAACAACAGAAGCAAACATTTATTGAGGACATGCTGTATGCCAAAGGTTGCACGTGCACTATTCTCACAGCCTATCTTACAGCTGGTGATGAACCGGACGTAGGGAAGTTAACGCATCCAATGTTACAAAGCAACCAAGGAGCAGTCGGAGCCTGTCCCCTGCACTCTGAACCCGAAGCTAGTCCACAGCTCTGGCCCACCGTGTTACGCCCTCTCTCCTGATGCTGGTGTCAGGATGTCTTACTTGGGAACTGCACTGGAGGTCGAGGGTCGGCGTTCTCCTTCTGTCGTAAAATCACAACGTCCCCATCTTTCAAGCCGTAGGAAGCCAGCGATCTGTGGTTGTCTGTGAGTGGTCTTTCAGCATAGACAATCTACAACCAGAAAAGATTGCACGGTAGAAAGCACTGAGAAGTAACATGGCACAAAGCAGGAAGACTACGTACAGCATTCCTTTTCATCCGATGTCAGTCCCTGCTCAAAACCCCCCAATGGTTTCCTATCACATCTGGAATAAAAGCCCAAGTCCTTCCTGTTACCTACTAGGCCCAAACCATTTGGCCCCTGGCTCTCCCTCTGACTTCATCTCATACTGTAATTGCTGTTCCCCAAATAACACGATCAATTTCCCCCTTGGGACTGTTTCACTTGCTCTTCTCTCTACCTAAGAAATGTTCTTTTCCCAGTCATCTCTTTTTTAAGTAGGCTCTATGCCCAATGTGGGGCTCGAACTCACGACCCTGAGATCAAGAGTCGCACGCTCTGCCAACTGAGACAGCCAGGTGCTCCCCAGTCATTTCTTTTAAGGTCTCTGATCAAACATTACCTTTTCAGAGCCCTTCACTCATCACTCTATTAAAAATGTACCCTCATCTCTCATATTATAAACCTCTTTCTTGTCTTTCTGCCCCACTAAAATGTAAGCTACTCGAGGACAGGATTTTGTTTCGTTCGCCATATCTCAAATGCCGTGTGTGTGTGTGATGAGAACTTCTAACATTTACTCTCCTAGCAGCTTTCAAGTGTGTGATACAGCACTGTTAATTAGTCACCAAGCTGGACATGACATCCCTGTGTGTCCACCTTTAAATGATCCTGCACACTGGCAAGTCTACAAGTTTTCCAAATACCACCCGTTCTGCATCCTTCCTTCTCTCCTACCATTCCCAAAGTTTGGTCGCACTTATGAGTGGAAAACGAAAGGGGGAAGAAATTCAGAAAAGAACAACTAAACACAGACGGCAAAAAGCATCACGGAGGTACTGCTACTACTGCTATTTTTATGAGATGCAATCAAACACTGAAGAAAACCTGACAGCAGAAAAGCAGATGAAACACCGCGCTGCAGAAAGCCAAGGCACAAAGGGCGTAGGGTAATTTTACCATGAAGGAACATAAAACCTACCCTGCGCTATCACATACTCCAGAGGGGCATTCAGAATAAGCTCAGGCTTTGAAAGGTTTTTCTCCCAAATCATTTGCTTTGCACCAGGCCACATGCAAACTGAGGAGCCTGAGTCCTGTCCTGGCTCTGACGGTGGCCGTGTCACTCAGCTGGTCCAGCCTTCACATTCCCCATTTGTCAATCAAGCAGTTGGGACTTGAGAATCACTACAGCTGTCCCTTCCAGGTCTTTCTACTCCACTACCATTTTACAGCGTTTCCTCATGTGTCCTCAAAGCTTTCATAGTAAGACTGCCTGACACAGAACCTGAAAAATACAGGATTTATACTGGGAAAAATGATCTGTCACATCTGCTCGCAGAATCTGCACTGATGTGAGGAACAGAACAGGAAACCGAATTTCCAAAACTGAATACTTCTGGGGATGCACAAAAAAACTGATTTCAGAGTTTGTAGGGCTGACGATACTTTATAAGTTCTCTACGTGACTAGAAAATGTAATGTTAGGGGCGCCTGGCTGCCTCAGTCATTAAGCGTCTGCTTTCAGCTCAGGTCATGATCCCAGGGTCCTGGGATCAAGCCCTGCGCATCGGGCTCCCTGCTCACCAGGAGCCTGCTTCTCCCTCTCCCACTCCCCCTGCTTGTGTTCCCTCTCTAGCTGTCTCTCTCTCTGTGTGTCAAATAAATAAATAAAATCTTAAAAAAAAGAAAAAAAGGAAATGTAATGTTAGTTCTTACCCTCAACCTACAGAGTTCAAACATGCTACGACAGACTGCAACTATCATTCCATCAATCCATTCACACTCTCTTCTTCTCCCTTATTTAAGCACATATCACACAGTAAAGGTACAACAGAATCAACACAGACTGTTTGCAATAACAACCTCAGAGTCGTATCGTAACTTGTGGAATTGTTGGGAAAACTACTGGAAATCTGAAGTGACAAGTGTCCTGGGTTGAGGTGTACAGCAAGAAGAGGCATGCCAAGAGAAATGCCACACAGGCAGCTCTTACAAGGTGGCGGCGACACTGTGAAGCTACCACAATGAAGGGACCAAGTGGTCCACGGCCCACTCCTTAATTTTCCAGGTTCAGAAACTCAACTATCTGTATATTTAGAGATACAGTCAGTTGACACATTCTAACTGTACTTATAAAAGAACATTTATCTACAATAGGAAATCAAACTCAGGAGCATCAAAATGCTCCTGTCCACCAGATCACTGAAATCTCTTCAGCCTGAAGGGCCACAATAAAACATTACCATTGCATGCGCTTCTATCAGAATGGGTTCTCACGGTCCTTACCAACAGCCTCACATTGAATTGTCAATCATTTTATGAGGTGGGCCTTATTTGTCCCATTTTATGGACAGGAAAGCAGATACAGAGTTCGGTGACCTGAGACCACACAGCTATTAAGACAAGAACTATGACTGGAACCACGTCTGCCTGACTATAGAGCCCATACATAATCTTCCCTAAGGACCACATACAACTTCCTCAAACCTAAGTCCAAAGTGGCCTGGTGAATCAGCTGGTGACCTGAACAAGAGCTATAAATCCATCCAATAAGGGCCTACACTAACCGGGGGGATGCAAACCCTATCCACTGCCCGCTGTAACCCCTACCCGAACACTAGCAACTTCTCCCTCTTTGGACTCCTACCTTGTAGATGCTGTACGTCACTCCACAGTGTTAGTTAACACGGTCTTTCCTCAGCAGACAATATAATTTTTTTTTTAAAAGTAAGACAGCCTCATCTAACAATAAGATCCAGGTAATAACTACCACCAAACACATATATGAAATGTGGAATATTGCTATCTGCCCCATTTCCTAAAAATACTAGACTGGAGAATGTGGGTGAGGAGCAAACATCTTTCACACTGACAAAGCAGCGGGCATATTCCATTTTAGTCAAGGACACAAAGGAGATAAACAAAAGCTTAACCAAAATTATAACTGCCACAAAGAACTGATTTCTTTTTGTTAAAACAAGTTTAAAAGTCTAAGAAAGACAATGATTTTATAGCTTTAGTCCTAGAATAAATCTGAATGAGCTTCCAGCTTAATAGGAGTATATTAGGCCAATGGTTTCAAATTTCTACCAGTCAAAACGAGTTTCAGTAATAGCACTGGTGATGCTTTCTACTAGAATACCCAACTCAAAGGCACAAAGGTAAAAATTCTAGTTTTGCCAGTTATGAAACACACAACAGAAAAACTGATACTGCTGCAAGTCTTTAGGTGCAGAACTGGCCCACCTGTGAGGACGTACTCCAGAGGAGGCGCCCTCCAGACAGAATTCTCCTCTTAGTCAACATTCAACAATAGTCTAATTAAAACAACTCCAGGTCTTTTGCTCAGGCCCGTGGCGCTGGCAGGATGGGCAAGTGTCGCGGTCTCCGTACTGCCAGGAAGCTCCGCAGCCACCGACGAGATCAGAAGTGGCATGATAAACAGTACAAGAAAGCCCATTTGGGCACAGCCCTGAAGGCCAACCCTTTTGGAGGCGCTTCCCATGCAAAAGGAATTGTGCTGGAAAAAGTAGGAGTTGAAGCCAAGCAGTCAAATTCTGCCATCAGGAAGTGTGTCAGGGTCCAGCTGATCAAGAATGGCAAAAAAAATCACAGCCTTTGTACCCAATGATGGTTGTTTGAATTTTATTGAGGAAAATGATGAGGTTCTGGTTGCTGGATTTGGTCGCAAAGGTCATGCTGTCGGTGACATTCCTGGAGTTCGCTTAAGGTTGTCAAAGTAGCCAATGTCTCTCTTTTGGCCTTATACAAAGGCAAGAAGGAAAGACCAAGATCATAAGTTTTGATGGTGAAAACATGACAATAATAAATTTTCATAAGCCAAAAAAAAACAACAACTCCAGGATCTTTAAGCATGATGTCAAATGTTTTCCAGTCTCTGAACGAGAGCCTTCAATCAACAGAAATTATAACAATACATTTCTAGCAGTAAGGACCAGACACTGGCCACAAAATCTTTGGACTCACATGTGAATGGCTACATAATAGTATCTACTGTTAATTGAAAGCCTACTATATGCCAAGTGCTCTACATACACTATCTCATGCAACAGCTTGACTTTTCCAACTTTCTGGAAAACCATTTGGCAACAGTTACTACAAGCCTTTCAAAAGACCTGGCAATTCCATATCTAAAAATATATCCTGAGAAAATAATCAGAAATGGGGACAAGGCCTTAAGTATATAGATATCCATGGAAATGTTACTCATAACTGCTTCCAATTTTCCCCAATTCAAATGCCCAGCAACAGGGAAATTGTTAAATAAATTGTAGTACATCCATAGGACGGTATATGATATGGCCATTAAAATGATAAATTTGAAGAATCTGAAATGCGATGGGAAATGCTGACAATGTAGTGTTGACGCAACAAAGAAAGTTGAAACTGTTAGTATAGTCAGGGCATCGTGTTTAAAAGATACATAGAGAGGTGCCTGGGTGGCTCAGTCATTAAGCATCTGCCTTCGGCTCAGGCCATGATCCCAGAGTCCTGGGATCTCTGTTGATCCCAGGACTTCCCCACCTCTGGGGAAGCCTGCTTCTCCCTCTCTCACTCCCCCTGCTTGTGTTCCCTCTCTCGCTGTGTCTCTGTCAAATAAATAAATAAAATATTTAAAAGAAAAAAAAAGATACATATATAGGGGCGTGTGGGTGGCTCAGTTGTTAAGCGTCTGCCTTCGGCTCAGGTCATGATCCTAGAGTCCCGGGATCGAGCCCCGCATCAGGCTCCCTGCTCCATGGGAACCCTGCTTCTCCCTCTCCCTCTGCCCCTGCTTGTGTTCCCTCTCTCGCTGTCTCTCTGTGTCAAATAAATAAAACCTTAAAAAAAAAAAAAAAGATACATATATAAAAGGAAGTAAGCTTAGAAAAAAAAATACACTAAAAGGTAAACTGCAGGGGCGCCTGGGTGGCTCAGCTGGTAAAGCATCTGCCTTCGGCTCAGGTCATGATCCCAGGGTCCTGGGATCCAGTCCCACGTCAGGCTCTCTGCTCAGCGGAGAGCCTGCTTCTCCCTCTCCCCTCTACTCGTGCTCTCTCTCTCTCTCGCCATCTCTCTCTCTCAAAAAAATAAATAAAATCTTAAAAAAAAAGTAAACAGCAGTTATTTGCGGGTTATGAGGTAGTAACTTACTGTCCTTATCTTTTCCTGCAAGTTACAAATTCTCTATAGTGAATATGCAGTATTTATCAGGAAAAAAAATACGTGAAAATTACCTGCTAAAATTAACATGTCAAAACCAGCTACAATAGAAAATTTCAGTTTCTACTGATTTAAAATAGTGTTTTACAAACCACAAATCATGCTGTGTACAGAGCTGCTTTTCCAGGATCATACAGTCACTGCTATTATTTGGTATTTAAATATGCCTTTCATTTGAGAGTCCTTACACATTCTGCACACGTCTTTACCACATGCCACCTACAGGGGTAAATTATAATGATGTTTCAAAAATACAAAGACATTAATTTAAAGTGAAGCTAAGTTCTGATAATTCTTTGAAGTTTGCCCGGCCAAGTCTGCATCAAAGTATTAAAAAGAGCCATGACTGGCTTCCAAGCCCACACTTGCATTAAGAGATGGAACATGCCCAGCTTTAATCACATGTACAAGCAGAGAAAGTTTCTAGTCTAAATTTGTTATCGTCACATTACAACTACTATAATCAGACTAGAGCTGTTAAAAATTAACACCTTTTCCAAGTGCATACTTATGCACAACTGATGCTGATGTGGAAGACTGAATTCTAAACCAGTGATCCTCCATGTGGGGCAGACATGCAAAGCAACTCTTTAAACATGAAGGAACAGAAAAACACTAGAATTTTCATTTCCATTTATTTTAGTTCATCCTTCCTTAAATTCTATCCTATGGCTGTTCATAATGTACATAAGGTATTACTTCATGTATATTACATAATTGATGTTTCCAGTTATATACATATACGTGCATATATAAAATGCATATCACATTCGTTCATAATGTCTGTAACTTTTTATATATCACAAAGATGTATGTTCCAAAACATTTTACTCAGAGGAATACATAGCCAAAAAAGTTTGGAGATTAGTGGTGGAGATCTTGACAGGAAATAACAGCCAGGAACATTAAAAAAAAAAATCCCTTTAAGAAGGTAAATAAGTGGAGTGAGGTAAAGAGACCAACAGAACTGTGAGAGGGAGAAAGGGAAGATGAGTAATAGGGGAGAACCTGGGAGGTAAAAGGGTGGGAGAGGGGGCCTCAAGTAAGTGATATTTTTGTAGGTAAGAACTATAGTGATGCTTACTATTATGATTTGGTGAACGGAAATGACTCAAGTGTCTAGGGTGGATCCTGTTCCTGCCTGATGGACAAACAACTGAAAAGACAACCGACCACCAGTCATCTTAAAATAGATACTGTGTTAGGTTACAATGGAGCCAATGGAACAAACTTGAAACACAGGGGCTGTTTAAGGCTCTATTAATACAGGGTTCACAGTACTTGGAGCCCAGTTTTGCATATGCTAATTTGGCTTGGGAAGGAAGTAAATGCCCAAAAGGTGACCTAAGGAATAAGAAAGAAATTTGGAGTTAGCCTAATTGTTCAATTAGTGAGGTACTCCTCACACCCTGAGCTGTGTCAATCTGACACACTCTTCACTTAAATTTTGTTACAGCCCATCTCAAAAAGGGTAGAAATTGAGGCAATGTCAATCTTCATCGCCCAAGTCCTAATAACAACAAAATCAACTTACATCTTAATTTTTTATTCCCCCACCAGCTGGTGATTACAACCAGGGTAACAGAAAAGCCACCTTCAAATATTTAAGAGTTGAGTGTACCTCCCTACTTAAACTGTCCTTTCCTAGCTCTCCACTTGAGGGATTCACTGACAGGAACTGGTTCCTCAGTTTTTGTGGATTAGCTGTTTATAGAAAAAGGTGCAAATAATCCCTTTTACCAATTTCTTTGTAACTTTCATCAGTCTGCCTATTTGAGTGGCACTTTCCACCCTGAAACAAATTCTTTCTTGATATTCAGCTTTATGCCAAGGTTCTAAAGTTCACATACTGTAAAGGAATCATACTCACTTCTGAACAAAATATTGACGCATCTGTTTACCATAACACAGGACAGAACACGCTGTAGTTGGGCAATAGTTTTGGAACTATTTCATAACTGCAGTAGGCAATCAAGATTTACATTCTGGGGCCTTGGAGGACTTCTATAATTTTCTTCATGTTTAGACCATGTCCTCCAAGGTCTACTTATCAAGTTAAGATTTAAATGTTTTCGTGTGAAGGCCAGAGTTATCGTCACCAATTCTGTTTGGTGGCAGCCTCACGGCATTTTGAGAATAAATTACTTTGCTTATTTAAAATGTTAGAGCAGCTAAACTTCCTTCCAACAGGGTAGGGAAATGAAACAGGCAAATCACACAGAGAAGCTACTAGGCCATTTTTACAAAAATATCCTCATAAAGCACTGAACTTTGAACCTATCCAAACTCTGAATTGTGGCCTGAAATAAAAAGGGATTCTGGCCTACTCCCAGCGAAGAAACCAGAGAAACAAACATGAATTGAACTAATAACTGCCATCCCTGGGGGGGGGGGGGCGGAGAGGAAAAGCCTTTTTTTTTTTTTTAAAAGAATTCAACCAGAAATGCCATGTGGAAGGGAAAAGGGAACAGGGCATTTCCAAATGCCTCAAAACAAGGTAATGCAAGTCTCAAAACTTTTTCCTTCACTTAGGAGTGCAAATCTCTACATTTAAAGGTAAATTACGTTTGCTTAAGCAGGAGCCCTCTCCAAAAAAGCAGATGCACATCAACCTACCACAGTGATCCAAACTGGTATTTCTGGTTGGGGAAGCAGGATGTATGAATTCCTGCAAACCTCGAGCTGCTTCTTCTATTCTATGGTTGTTCATAATGTGCATAGATCCACAACATCCCAAACTCGGGATTATTAGGGGAGAAAGGGCCAAAGAGCCAGAAGGTGGGGCGGGCCGCCCAACTGTCCCCGCGCCCCTCAGGCTGCAGTGGGTGCGTCTGCGGTCAGGTTCTCCGCTCCCTCCCATGGCACCCCACCCCACGCTCGGCGTGTGTGGGGGCAGCTACCGATTCCAGCTCCCTCCCGGACGCGGGGGCGAGCTGGGAGAGGCCATCCTGCTCCCCCACCCCCAATTCCTCACCAGTAGCAAAGGGAGGGCGTGAGACTCGGAGGCAGGAGGGTTAGCCCCGGAGGGAGACCCCGCTCGCTGCCCGGCATACCTGGCTCTCGGCTGCGGGGATGCCGGACTCGAGCTCGCACAGCGCGCGGAAGTTGTGCAGCTCGAAGTCGGCGTCGACCTGGAGGGAAAAGGTCACCTCGGAGAGGTCCCTCCGCACACAGTACACGGTGAGCAGCATGGCCCGGGCCCGACCCAGCTCGGCTCGGCCCGGCCTCGGCGCTGGGCTGCGGGGCGGCGGCGGGGCCTGGCTGGAGCTGCGGGCGAACGGCGCGGGCTGCTCGCTCGCCCGCTTGCTCCTTCCCTCCCTCACACACGCTCAGTGACTCACTCCCTCCCGCCCTCACTACCAAGCACAGCCGCCGCCACCCGCCTGCGACTCCGTCTGCCTGCCTGCCGGCCTGCCTCCCACCGCTGCCGCCAAGCGCGCCAGCCGCCCAGCGCCCCGCCCCGCCGCAACGCGGCTGCCGTAAAGCTTGCCTCACCCTCTCTGCCTTCGCGACGCAGAGAAGGGGCGGGCCGGGAAGAGGAAGCGGGAAGCTAGGAGAGGATTGGAGGGAAGGGAAGGCCTGGGAAGCCAGAGGGAGGAAGGGCGAGAAAAGGGGAGGGAAGGAAGGGACTGAGGGAAATCGATGAGTGAGTTAATAGACGAAGTCGGTGGCGGACCCCACGATCTCATTCACCCAAATGAGGCATTTATTAAGCGCCGACCATGTGGATACAAAAATGCGTAAAAACACAGGTCTTTCTTTGCCCTTAAGGAACTCTCACGCAACTAAGCAGAGTTCTAAAATGTATTTACCGAGTAGAAATTGAGGCTGAGAGAGATTAATTCACTTCTTGTCCCAACGATTTAGGGTTAAAACCAAAATCATGACCCTGCCTAGTCTATAGAACCGAGCTTACTCTGGTCCCTGCAGACATCTCCAGACCTGCCTCTCAGCCCCTTCCTGCACTCTGCCCACCCAACCACATTGGGACTTTCGGTTCCTCCGAGGCTCCATTCCCCTGCCTTGTAAAGTTGTCTCTCTACTTGGGACTGTCTCCTTCCTAGACCTAGCATGCCCCCAGCGCCTACTGCAGAGCCTTTATTGGGCACAGCTTAGAATCCACTCGATAAAGTATTGGCTACTTTAATGGCCTGTTCATGGCCAAGTAGCTGATGACTGGATAGAGGCCCAGAGCATGAGGATAAGGTCAGAAAACCAAAACTGATGCAAGAGAGGCATCTCCCTACTTAACCACTGCCCAATTCCCCATCCGTGGAGTAGGGACCCCTCTTCTGGTATAACAAGAGGAAGGGAGAGACAGCGGCATCTGTTCAGTGAATCAATGATATCAGGGCCTGTATTTCTGTAAATATTTTGGCCTTTCCGGGAGGGTCACAACATGCCTGGCTGCCTCCACTCCATGCAGCATTTTCTTTAAGGCAAGAGCTTGGCCAGAAGTCCTGCAGCAGGTTTCTGTTTGCATCTCTCTGGCCAGGACAGCGCCGCAGAGATGCAAGCAAGGCTAGGAAAGTGAGTCTTTAGCTTTTCTCACCTCTTTAAAGGACATGGACACAAGTAAAAGGTTTTGGGAACAGGTGTTAGGTGAGACCTACATAGTCTACTACAGCAGAGAATATTTGAAATAACCATTGCAAATTGAAGCAAGTTGAATAGAGAAATGATGTGGAATTGTCAGGTGGTGTTAAGGATTCAACTGAGGTTGGAATCACAAATTGATTAATTTTTCTGTGTTACATCTTTTTTCTAGTGGTGCTCATGTGCCCGGGTGTGACAGATTTTATTTTCCAAAGATGGCCACGATAATATCTCTTATCTTACATGTTCTTCTTACAATGTGACCGTAACATTCCTCCTATTGAGAGATGGGGTGTATGTCTCTCCATTTGAATCATGGCTGACTGACCCTGGTATAAATGTCATTGTGTGACTTCTGAGGCTAGATTATAAATGGCAATATAGCTTCTGCCTGGCTCTCTGGGAACACTTGGTCTTAGAACCCAGCAGCCATGCTGTGAGGAAACCCAAACCACATGGAGAGAACATGTGTGGATGTTCCAGGCAACAACCTAGATGAGATCAAAGCCAATTCCTAGGAAAACCACAAAAGATACTTGCAGTTTGTTTCAACCCCAGACATTGAGCCATCTCCAGCATCTGGGTCTTTCCAGCAGAGGTCTCAGATGCCATGGGGCCATCTCCACTGTACTCTTTTTGAATCCCCAACCCACAAATCTGTGAGTATAATACAATGGTTATTTTGCATGACTAAGTTTGAGGTGGTTTGTTATAAAGCAACAATAAATGGTACACTGAATACAAATAGTCTCTCTTTATATATGTATAAACATAAATATGTATACACACATATCACATCTTCTTTATCCATTAATCTATCAACGGACACTTGGGCTGCTCATAGTTTGGCTGTTATGGGTTTTTTTTTTTTTTAAGATTTTATTTATTTATTTGAGAGAGAGAGCATGAGTGGGAGGGGCAGAGGAAGAGGGAGAGAATCTCAAGCAGAGTCCCCACTGAGTGTGGAGCCCGACATGGGGCTTGATTCCAGGACCCTGAGATCATGACCTGAGCTGAAAACAAGAGTTTGATGCTTAACCATCTGTGCCACCCAGGTGCCCCCATAGTTTGGCTATTGTAAATAATGCTGCAACAGACATAGGGGTGCATGTATCTCTCTGAATTAGTGTTTGTGAATTTTTTGGGTGAATACCCAGTTGTGTGATTACTGGATTGTAGGGTTGTTCTATTTTTCTTTTTGAGGAACCTCCATACCATTTTCCACAGTGGCTGCACCAGTTTGCATTCCCACCAACAGTGCAAGAAGGTTCCTTTTTCTCCACATCCTTGCTAACACTTGTTTCTTGTTTTTGATTTTAGCCTTTCTGACAAGTGTGAGGTGATTTCTCATTGTGGCTTTGATTTGCATTTCCCCAATGTTGAGTGATGTTGAGCCTCTTTTCATGTGTCTAATTGGCCATGTGTATATCTTCTTTGGAGACATGTCTGTTCATGTCTTCTGCTCATTTTTTAATAGGGTTATTTGTTTTTTGGGTGTTGAGTTGTATCAGTCCTTTATATATTCTGGATACTAACCCATTATCAGATATGTCATTTGCAGAGATTACTTACTTAAATTAAAAAAAAAAAGTGATGAGAGAGAGGGGCACCTGGGTGGCTCAGTCGGTTAAGCATCTGCCTTCAGCTCGAGGTTATGGTCTCCGGGTCCTGGAATCAAGCCCCATGTTGAGATCCCTGCTCAGCAGGGAGCCTGCACCTCCCTCTCCCTCTGTGCGCTCTCTCAAATAAATAAATAAAATATTTTAAAAAATGGTGAGAGTGGACATCCTTGTCTTGTTCCTTACCTTAGGGGAAAAGCTCTTGGCTTTTCACCATTGAGTATGATGTTGGCTATGGGTTTTTCATATAGAACTCTTATTACTTCAAAGTAGGGATCTCACCCCTTTTGGACTCTGCTCAATTGCTTCTTGATCTGATTCAGAGTGTGGACTTTCACTTCTCTCATCACTCTATGAGACTTTGCATCTTCATTACTCATGATCACAAATGGCTTGAGACATCTCCGGGCCATAATCCTAAGTGAGGATGGGTTGGGATGGACCTTGAGAGAAAGCCTAGACAAGAAGGATACCCTTGATTCCCATGTATCAGTCAGTACTGTATGTCAAGAAACTTGCAAATGATTGCTAACATTTACTGAATGCTAACTTTGTGCCAGACACTCTTCTAAGCACTTTATGTGTTGAGTCATTGAATCCTCACAAAAATCCTATGAGGTATTATCTCCATTCTACAGATGAAGAAACTCAGGCAGAGAGAGGTCAGTCTTTTGCCCAAGGACATACAAGTAGTAAATGGCAGTCCCAGGATTCAAACCAGGCAATTTGACTTGAGTCCACACTTTTTTTCAAAGTTTATTTATTTATTTAAGTGATCTATACACCCAATGTGGGGCTCGAACTCACAACCCAGAGATGAAGAGTTGCATGCTCTTCTCACTGAGCCAGCCAGGCGCCCCACAAGTCCACAGTCTTAACCACTACTTTACACAGCTACATGTAAGACCTCATTTCATCCTTCTAAAAGCCCTCAGAGATAGGAACTACAGGTTTCCCCTGTTATCTGAAAGTAGATGGTTCCTATGAAACCTTTTGTAAACTGAAATGGTGCAAAATGAAGAAGTGATTACCATTTCATAAAATCAAAAATCCTTTTCAGATTTCTTTAGGTCAGTGAAAACAAGTCCTAATGTACGTCTTCTGTAAAATTGAAGTTTCATAAAGCAAACTTTTGGACAGCAGGGGAATCCTGTGTTTGTATTCATTCCCATTTCATGGATAAGGAAATTGAGGTGTGGGAATTTTAATCAACTTGCCCAGGTTCATACAGCTAGTGAACAGCAGGTTCTCCAAGCTGTAAAAAATTTTAAGAACAAAAACATCTATTTCCAACCTTTAACTAGAGCACCAGCATTCTGCCTGCACACTACATGTGGAGACACCTGGCTGTGCTCCAAAACCCTTTCAACACCATATGGTCATCACCAGCAAAGTTTCTGCCTACTTCTAGGTTCTTGCCTAATTCTTCTCTACCAGGAAGAACAAATTGGTAAGGGCATTTACCCTCATTGATTTTTAAAAGTCCTACAATTGGTGGGCGCCTGGGTGGCTCAGTCAGGCATCTGCCTTTGGCTTGGGTCATGATCCCAGGGTCCTGGGATTGAGTCTGCATTGGGCTCTCTGCTCAGCAGGGAGTCTGCTTCTCCCTCTGCTCCTCCCCCACCCCCACCCCCACTCATATTCGCTCTTTCTCTCTCTCTCTCGCAAAAATAAATAAAATCTTAAAAAAAAAAATAAAACTCCTACAATAGGGACTAAATCCCCAAACACTCTAAGTACTTGTTTTTGTTTTTTTTTAAGCAGGTGTATATTGTTCTTTGAATTTTTCCCTCATCATCAGTTCATGGTTGCTCAAAGAAGTCTCTCTTACCTTGCTGTTCCTGTCATGTCAACTAATAGCGGATAGTGCTCCATTTTACTCATTTTACCTTAACACAAAAACTCTTCTCATTCGGTTTCCTATTTCTTAGGCCAGGATCATGTGCAGATGTATAATGCAATGCCTCCTCCCTTTCCTGCTTATCTTTCCTAAAATCTGATAGCATTTCAGTTCCACTATATTCTAGGTCAATTCTTACTCTTCATTTCCAGTGTACCGTGTCCTCATTGGGTTATCAAAACATTGCAGGTAATTATGGTTGTAATTTCAAGCACCATAATTTGCCTACTCAGAAGTTTGTAGCTAGAGATCAAAATGTACTTTGATTACCAGAGTCAGCCT